ACAGTTTTGAGTTGATTTCTCTGTTTCGTCGTTTTTCTAAGTTATTTAGTAGACCTTACTTTCGACATTGTTATAAAAGTTCTTATTGATTCACCTGTTGTGCAGATCTCAGAGATGGGATCCAGAAAATCGATTTACTTTACAATTCATTAGTTTGTTGTGCTTGTGTATGAACGGGAAATCTGTCCATTTCATTAGGAAGATGTGTTTGTTTCAAAAGGGGTTATCTAATTGGAGGTGACGCTAGAAGGCCTGATATTTTGTCGTATTACGTTGCCTTGTTCTCATTACTCAACACCTTCAATCTATTATTGATGTTGTTTTCATTTCTTTTTTTTTTATCAAGAAGAAGAGGCAAGAGCATTTGATTTTTACGTAGTCTAGCTGTAAGGGGCATTTTCGAGTGGGCGTTTGTAGAAGCTTATCGTTGCATATCCCTATATTTTAGGATGGGTTCTTGCCTATGCAAAAGAAAAGCACGCCGAAACTGTGAGAACAACAGGTAAGTTACTCTTTCCACTGCTACATTCTTCGTTGGCCAAGTGTTTCTAGAAGTGACGTTGAAAATTCTAGCAATCGAGGCTCACCTTCATGCCGTCGTGAAGAAGAACGGAACGAATCATCGCACTCTTCCGAAATGGACATGGATTTTGAAATCGGTGTGACCTTTGCCGCTTTTGTCTGCCTATTTTTCATTGTTTTTCATTCGCCATTCAGGGTCTTCTTTTTATAGAGAATCGTTGTGGTTGTCTGTAGAGTAGTGGAGGTTAAGATCAGTATATTACAATGGATTTTTTCCAAATTGAAACTATCAGTGAAGGCAGATTGATAAGAAGGTCAAGGATTTGGTCAAAAGGCTCTGAGTGTTACTTTATGGATACAGTGATCAACCATCTCCAGTTCCATTCCCGCTGTTTGTTGTAGCTATTGTAGCTACGTTCTTTAAACTGTTAAATAGACTATTAAACCATTAAAGTATTTCCTTAATTATTAAGATTCAAGTACACGTTAATTTTATCTTTTTTTTTCTCGGAAACTTTTAACTGTCCAAATTTTGCTTTTTAAATATTGGCAAACACTTCATTCTTAGGCTTGAGACGAATGATCTCTTCTCTCATAATAATCGTTGAAGTCCTTCGTTTGAACCTGCTTCTTAGCCTTCGAGCTTTACACTACTGGTGTCCGTTCCACTTTGTTTTTTGCACACGTAATTGATAGACTCAAACAAAATGGTCGTATACCTAAGTTTGTAATGCCGGAAGTATAATGGTTCGATGTTTTGAAATCATGACGATATTTAAGTATTTCATGTTTAAGAATAAGCATACCGAGCATTGTTTCTGCTTCGATTCGATCTGACTTCTTTTAAATTTTTCATACTTATCCTAGTGATCACACTTAACCATTGACTGCTTTGCACCGGCGCTGCGTCATTTTTCACAAGTTCCGACATAACGCACTCCAGCACATCTTTCATTCGACTCGTTTTCTTGCGTCCACGAAGGTCTTAGAGTTGCAGAGTGGGTTTGGCTGTTGCTTAATGGTTTCGTTCCTTTCCATGAATGCCGTTGGATGCTTATGGAGTCGGTTTTTCCTGAATCTTGGAGTACTGTATGACATTCGCAGATCACACAATCGTTCGCTAGAATTTATGGGTAGGTCAATGCGCTCTACGGGCAAGTCTGGTCCCAATCTGTCGACTTTGAAGCGATTGGAAGCCTGTTTGGACTAGTGCAAGGTTAAACCACTGACCATACTTGTATTATTGCACGGCACAGTGCTTCCTGTCTATCATGTCATCATTATTACATGTCACTTTCTTTTACACCTTTTTTATATTTTCTTACATAGTGGAGATGTCTTTAACTTGTCTGTGTTAACGGCGAACAAAATTATAGGTACAGTCCACCTTTTTCTTTGTTCATTTCCTTTATCTTTTTCTCTGCATCACTGTTGTACCTTATCGCTGATCTATCCATGCAGATCAATCAATGGTAGTTTTAGAATCCTCCACTCCGCAGAAAAGACTCTAGCGAAAAAAAATGTTTTCATATTATTGGTGTTGACGATTGTGAATACGACATTGTTTGTCGAAACGTATTGATTCGTATTCACACATTGGGAACAGCCTTACAGCCTGTTCTGCAAAATCCCAACACTTCAATCGTTTCGATGTTCAAATATTACAAAAAATGAAATTTTTTTCCTGGCGTAGTAGGAGACAGGTATCTTCTAGTCAAGTTTCTGTGGATTTTAATGGTTGCTATTTTTAATTTATAGAGTTCGGCATCTTTTCATGCTTCCAAGCAAGTCTGACACCATTTTACCAACCTCACAGCCAAGCTTAGTTAATCCCTGGCATCGATCGAACCAATGATTGTGTGCATCAGAGAACAATTCTAACCATTACACGCGTTTCCGAAGTGATATACCGTGTCCAAATCTGAGATGCTAGACTTTTCAGATTTGGTAGTGTTGAGAACTACTCTTGCTGAGCAGATTTTTGATGAAGGATTGATATATCTTCGGCAAGTGTCTTATATTAGCTGTTCTTGTTCAGCTACATCTACATCTAAACCGTCGTTCTTTCTGTTGTGAGCTTCAATCCATGGTTAGAATTTGGTGTGAGAGTTGATTTATTGGGAAATAAAGTTGCGCAGAAGGTATATTCCATTAGACGAGATTATTTTAGTTCTATATGACGAATGACTACGCTTAGATGTTTACGTGTTAGCCCTTCATGTTTCTTCCTAGCTGCATCACATTTTTAACTCTTTCTTTTCCTTCTTGGTCGAATATGTGACCCATTTTGCATAAAAGTGCAATCGTTACAGACAGAGCCACGGAAATATTATGTATTACATACCAAAGACTCACGATGTCAGTAAAACACCTCATCTCGTTCAGAATCGTGCTACACTCACCGTTTTCCAATCCTCTGGTTCACATTTGCATTTGAAACGCTGTTCTATGAGTTCTAAAACGGTTTCTGTTAAACACCCATTAGAGATTTGAACATAAACTGGGTTTTAGCTCACCTTTTTGGCAACATAGTGCACAGTGACAGCAACAGTTGAGTCCAGATCGTTTGCTGGTGACTCTGGACTCTGGACTCTGGACATTTGAATTCACTTCTTCATTAGTGTTTTTGGTTATTCAAGGTCTTCATATGTTGAATAAACGTCTCAGATGCTCGTCGGATTCCTGTTCTTGACATTATCCTTCGTCTATTATTACTCCGTACCTCAAAGTGAAATTATTTATGAGCCCTGATTTGTACACTGGATTTGCGCCATTGTGATTTCCCAGTTGTTTTACTTTTTCAATGTCACCTCTGCTTCAGCTGAATTGTAGGCAAAGAGAGTAGCATCATAACAAAATTTGAGTATTAGAACGTTTTACCTTCCTTATGATTCACTTTTGTTATTGAATGCTTAGCATTTGTTCCTCTATTTGTCAACATATGATCACTATTTTCAGAAGGACCTTCACAATTGGGTCGACGTATGTCAGTGACGAACTTTGTCGGAAATGACGTTAAGGATCTTATCAGGCAAACTTTAAAAGTGATACGATCACTCGTCAACAAGTAAGTATTTTCGCTGAAATTTAAATCTTCCGTAATGTTTCAAAGGTTGCCGCTTTTAGTCCTTATTTTTTTGATACGTCGGCTTTCCACTTCTGCTCCTGAGCGTTTTCCTAGACATGCTTCTGATCTGACAGTTGTAAACTTATTTTCGTTATTACTTAGGCTGCTTACTATCGCCTCGCAACGGTTTACCACCTTATCATGGGTGGGAGGTGTTCCTGGGTGTGGCTGCGATGTTCAGCGGTGGGATTCATCCCCTCGGCAGGGTCTTCCAAGCTGAGTAAGAGTCTGGCGTTTCCACCAGAAAGTCCAGCTAAGAGTAAATCAATACTAGGATCCAGCACAGTCCTAGAATGAAATTACTCGTATGGTGGCAAATCTCCCTCTGATCCACAAGGGCGGCGACTGCCCTTGGCGGTGATAACCTGGAGCAGACCTTGACCAGGCTGTCGTCGGGGCTGCAGGGAAACACAATGGCTAAACTAGCAAATCTCCGGAGAATGGAAATTGTGCTGAGATCCGCACAACCAGTGAAGACGGGCCATCGAAATGTCGAAGTAAGCTTACTATCGCCAAAGCACATGAGTTGTTAGTAATGTTTGTGCACGAGTGCAATTTGGTTATTGATGTGGTACGCAGGTCTTGAACCTCGGTAGGAAAATAATCAACACGTGTTTGTATGTCTTCTTTCTTTGATGAGCTTACACGAGGTTGATAAGTGCATTTATCTTCGGCTAACGTTTCGACGTCTTCGCCTTCATCAAAGCCGACTCGACGGTCCACGCTTGTTATTCGTCTCGATGTGGCAGCTTCGCCTTCGTGTCGAGTCAGGTCTTCCTTAGCGGGCTATCTCCTCGAATGAAGCATTCTCACTCGGTGATCCCCTTTTATACACGATGCTGATGGTGGATGCAATGTTTCCCTTAACCTCGGTGTAACTAGTCAGTGTGAAAGAATACATATTGATTAGTCACGCTGAGCTTAAAAGAAAGTCGGTCTCGAAATATTACTATGCTTTGTACTAGCTGATAATAACACCGACTTCTGCGCGATGTGTACAATGATGTATTGTATGTGGCACATTATACTTCCACGTGATTTCTGTGCGGTTGGTCTCTACGTGACATACTTAGTGGAAACCTCATAGGAAGCGGCTCTGAGGAAGGCGAAATCCGCCGAAACGTCAGCTTAATCGTGAACAAAGAATAATAACACCTCGCGTTTGCTCAACAAAAATACGAAGAAAATCACTTGATCAATGCCGAGGTTAATAGAAAGTCGGTCGTGGCAGTTACTTTAGACAAGAGTTTTTCGCTTATCGCTGAATTTCCACTATTCGGTGGAAAAGAAAGGTTAAAGTGTTAATGAAGATCAAACTTTGAAATAGACGCCATAAAAACAACGACAACGACAACGACAACAACAACGAAGATCTGTACCAACCTCGCGTCAGCTTAAGAAGATTAGTTTATAAGATCACATAAATAAATATATCAACTATGTATGCGAAGGTTTATAGAAAGTCGGTCTTTCGAGTTATGAAATGGAGACTATTACAATCTACAGATCTTTGCTGAAAATATGCCCAGCCAAATACGGATGTTGCCCTGATCAAATTACAATTTCTTGAAGCTCAGAAACCTATTTTTAAATTCACCTTTTGTTGTCGAGAATCGTCACGTATCATAGGCAGGAAAGAGACTGAATAAGCGCGATTTCGTTCAGCAGAACATGAAGGTCTTCCTAAATAGAGCGCTGATGTTTGATGGCTAATGTTATTGCGTTAATTTTTGACTTTAACCATAATGACTGCGGTGGGGACCGAACACTCTGTTACCCTTTCCGGGGACTAGCGCGTTCACCAGCACACTATGCGAGTTCTTCATTTCGCCTTTCTCTCAGCCATGTTATTGATCTGTAGGTGCTATCTTTAATAATCCTTGACTTTGATTTGAAAGAAAAGAGTTAATGGTGTGGAAAGTATCTATGCCCATAGATTGACAACCTCTTTCTTCTAGGATTGTCAATCTGTCAAGAAATATAATTTGCTCTCGAATGTGATCCCAATGTTGTCTTTGTTTGTTCTTACATGAGCCTATGATTTTGAATCAGTTATGTTTTGACAAGTTCAAGAATTTCGATGAAACGGTGAAGTGCAAAATTTGATCTGTATGAAAGAGTTTTCTTCACGTCAAATAAATGTAGCAGTAATTGTCTTTGTATTGATAAATTTTGAAGGCTTATCAGTCATGTGAGGGTGAGTGGTGGACTATTTTAGTTTCACAATATTGAAAATAACTTAGTCCTATAGAATCTACGTGTATTTTTGCCTCACTAGTAGCATTTAGTGAGCAAGAACCACCGGCATCACTTCTTAAACTCAATATGATTGCTGAAAGAGAAAAAGGCTGGCTGTTGGTGGTGGAGTCTCTAATTGAAACCGTGAGTTATTCTCGTATTTTTTTCTTTTACTGCCAAGTTCAACTCTATAGTGTATCCCTAACTACTTGAGGTGCCAGATGATGATTCTTTGGGTCCAGCAGTGATAACGCTATTTTTAGATGAATGTCCATTGCCATCAAAGGTATGTGAAGCTGATTTGTGTTAATCTTGACCAATTTTGAATTGAATGTTCAGGACACAGTTCATCGGCTCTTATGTTCTCTGCGTCTCGATCAGGCGTCCTTACCTAATTCTACAAGGAAACGAAGTTGGCATCGAAACACCTGCATTGTCTTAGGTAGCATTTACAAATCGGCTTTGTTCAACGTTCAAGGAACAGACGTTCCTTTTTTGTTGCACGCAAACTGTCTTTACTGATGTGAACTGTTCTCGCTTAAGGTTCACTGGCGGAAAAACTTGCTGGCAGTAGCAGTGTGGCAATGTGTAATTCTACGACTTTATCCTATCTCATATCTCTTATCGTGAGACTTTAACAACTTTTTTAACTGTTACTTTTACAACGTTTTTTCTTTGAAATCGTTGCCAACAATTTAATGGCAAGATTTTTAGTCACCTCCTGTCAACAATGCTCGAGTTGTGCTCTTCGCTCTTTTAGCCTTGGAGAAATTCGCGCAAACAAGTGAAAATCAGTTCCTGATTTCACGAACCCTAGAAAATTCACCAACACATCCCCTTGAGGTAATTTTAGTGTTTCATACATATTCCACCACTATTGATATAGTCAGAAAGTGTATATACATATATTTTTCTGTAACATATACAGTTTACGGAATTAGTTAGCCACCTTTCTTCACTTCGAAAATGTCTTCCCTTGAACTTTGGTGTTTAGCAACTTGAGCAATGGCGGTTCTACACATCCAATTCAATAAAACGCCAAGTGGGGTTTTGTGCCACATGGGCGCTTGACAATATTTGTGGGTTTATATTTTCCGTTGTCAGTTGTTTGGAATTGAATTTTGAACTATGGAAATTCATTTGTGATTTCACGCCATATTTTTGTTAAATATTTTTCTTTATTAAGACATTTTCACACTTTACATTAGGTTTTTTTGTCTTTAGTCGTCACTCCTAATCGTACCTACGCATATGAGACTACCGATGTATCCCATATAAATGTAATGTTGAATCATGAAGACGTCAGTGAATACTTGAAGATAGGGCCGGACGGCTTGGAGGTGTGTTATTACACACTATTGTAATACGTTTACCCTTCATGGAACTTTTTTGTGCTCTCCTTTTCTTTTTGATAAAATTGCAAAGATTTTAGGCTCGTTGTGACGTTTCGTCGTTTGAATCTGTGCGTTGTACATTTGCAGTCCAAGATGGCGTATGGTATTATGAAGCAATCATATATACACCAGGAGTAATGCAGATTGGGTTTGCTACAAAAAGGAGTCGGTTTTTAAATCATGTAAGTCTAGAATCTATACTCACTTTCTTGTATAGTTGGACGACCATTATTCACGAAAAATAAAGGAAACAGTACATTTGCCACTAATTTTTCTTGCGCGTTCGTCATCTGTGATGATGATGTTTACAGCATGACATCTTCCCCATGGTCTATACATCGTTTCGACCCGCGAATGCAGCTGGTTGATATGAACCAAAAACATGCTTGCACCTCGTGTGGGTGGTTGTCCTTCTTCGCCTACATCTCTTGGAGTGCATTGTAGGGTTCTTCTCTTTCATCTGTCATTGACTGTTCTGATTATATTACTGTCTCACCTATGTTTCCCTTTCTAGGCATATTCCAGTGAGTTACTAATATGAGATGACTTTCAGAGGTCTATGGAGTCCAGGTAGATGTTGTATGCATCGACTATATTTTTGGATGATCAAAGGTCAATAAGTAAAAAAAAGTGGGTGCTAGGTTTTAGGCTCGTTAACTAATCCATGGCTTATCTGAGACATCCGGGAGTGACCCGTGCTCCTTCTTTCTGTATAATCCTCCCTCATACTTAAATTCATTGAGCGCCGTAAATCCCCTTAAAATATGGTGTATGGTAGAGATTCAAAGAACGATATAGTTCGGTTTATTTGCGTTCGCATAATGAGTTTCTCATGAACTGAGTTTTTTTTCCGGCTGGTTTGCATTTCTATCCTCTGTCTCACAGAATTGAGTTGGTTGAACCGTCGTCTCTGTTTCATCGTACTTTTGGAAAAGGTGGGCAGGTTGTCAGCAGAACTGCGGTTTGTTGAGAATTTCCCATCAATGCGTATGTCTTTTTCTCCTGATCGAGTGAACAACTGTAGCCAAATAGCGTCGTTCTATCGAACCTTTTTTCTTAGCGAAATGCTAAAGGGTTGATTTAAGAGCTGTATTTCATTGTGCAGTTGTGATAGTATCTAACTAGATCTTCTATGTTGAGTCAGTTTTCAGTCAACGGGCTCTGATAAGACCGCATTCGTTTTGACGATGTCAAACGATTTTTTATAGTTAATGAAAGTTGTGAATAGGAACAGGTGGTTTTTTTAGTTTAGTTTACTCCAACTGCGGTTTTGGTACGGTGGATGCATTGCAATTCTTATCTGAATCTTCCTTTCTGAGTTAGCTGAGTTTATCTGAAGATCTGATATTCACGAGCAAGTAATCTTCATGAAGAGTTTGAAGTCCTTGAGTTTGTTAATTGCATTTGGCTACAATCTGTACCCGTCAAGGGTGTAACGAAGTTTCTTGCAAGTAAACATTTGCAAAATAATAGATACGACGGAAAGCAACAAGAAAATTGTTTATAAATCACTTTCTTTAAAGTTTCTTGAAGATTTGTGTGTTCGGTTGGACCTATCGAGTGGAAATGTTCTTTTTGAAATTCCTTACCTATAAATAACGAAAATGTGCAATGGGATCGTTGAATTTTTAGGAAGGATATGGAATTGGTGATGATGAGTCTTCCGTCGCATACGATGGTTGTCGCCAACTTCTTTGGTATAATGCGCACTCCAGTCGACATGAACACGATCCGTGGTCTCCAGGTACGTGAAAGCCATAATACCCATCAAAAGTCATCTTCATATTTCGACCATTGCTTATTTATTTTGCTTTTTTTCTATTTTGACTTCTTTTAGGGGACGTTGTTGGTTGTTTGTTGAATATTCCTACCGGTACCGTAATGTTTTATCTGAATGGCCAACCTCTTCAACGACCACACTTAGAATTTCTCAGTCAGTACTTTTCGAAACTTCCTTTCGAAAAGGCTTCGTAGTTGCCATGTTTTCATTATTCTATCTAGGTGCTGATTGCAGATTACATTTTACTCACCACATATATGTCAGATTTTTTTTTTAAGAAAATCGACCTGCTGGTGATGGAGTTTTCGCGGCGGCGTCATTCATGTCATTTCAGCAATGTCGCTTTAATTTCGGTGCTGAACCTTTCAAATATCCTCCAGATATCTCATTCAAGTATGCTTAATGGCATTGATTTTTGTTGAGGTTTTTCTAGCACTTCGCTTTTTTAGTAGTTGATTTCATTGTGTTCGAAATTGTTCTCACAGTTAAATTGTTATAGGTCCTTCAATGAGGGAGGTGCAACGTTGACAGTAGAGCAGAAAACTATTCTTCCACGGTAATTGACTTGATTTAAATGCCAAATGAGTTCTCTTATTTTTAAGAGGGATCTGTCTTATTCACCGTTGTTGTTTCCAGGCGGAGGCGTCTCGAACTTCTACAGAAGGAACCTATTCCTGAGAATTATTGTACAATCTGTTATGCATATCCAGGAGATACCGTGTTAACGCCGTGCATGCATGGGTATGCGTATTCATTTGGGTTTTACAAAGATATTTCTTCTCTCACGATTTTTTCATGAAACTTTTAACTACGAGTTTATTGCATTTTAGAGAAAGCGATTGTTGCATAGAAAGTTTCGTTTCGGAGAAATATACCACCACTATGAAAAGCTTTTAATAGTGTGTTTCCTTAGTGGTTGCCAGTATCTTGATAACTTGTATTTCTGTATTTATTTTTCGTTTAGCACTAGTATCTTATAACTTTACGTTCGTTTACGTCTTCCACCATTTTTTAGTGGTTTCTGCAACACATGTTCTATGCAGTTGGATCATTGTCCATTATGTCGGCAAGCAATTGAGAGTCGAGTCGAAGATGAAGCTCGGCGTGTCTCCATTCGTAAAGTATCGGAGAACCAAGTATACTCTGCTGCCGGTCATCGTATGTCAATTGGTCAGGCACATTTCACTCCTCATAGAACCATGACCGAATTGTGATGACGTTTTCAGCTTCTCTACGAAGCTAATTGTTTTTGTGGAAAGCAGAGTTGTACATTTTGCTGTTTACCTACTGTATATCTAACGACATCATTAGCGTGACTTTCGAATCGTGCAAAGTTCAGTTGTGGTTTTTATTTCCTGATTTATACACTGCCTTTGAAAATTACAGTTTGCTACCACTAATCACATTTACGATAGGTATTATCTAGATGTTTATTTTGATTAGTCCTACACAATTCAAGTTGCACGGGTTAACTGGCGCGGGTTTGCCTTAAGTTATATCCGTTCTTCTTCGATTTTTCGTACAGTTTCTATTATCCTACTGAACTGGAAATAATATCCAAATGGATTACCAAGTTGCGCAAACAGGAAGTGTGTTTTCAATATACGTAATACAACGTCAATTTGTGTAACTAAGGGTGTTTGTATAAAATTTGTATGAAGAATAACCGATGTCCATTGTACATACTCGACTACGGTTTAGTGAGGAATTTACTTCTTTAAGGTCTCTTACACCTCACAATCCTTACATATCCTAGTCATGTTCGCTTTCGATATTTTGCTCTCATTTTGTCAAGTTCTTACTTATTTCTGCACGCTATTCTGGATTTCAACTAGAGATATGCAATCAAAGCTTTGTTTTAAAACGTATTTCAGAAATAAATTTGTATATAGTGTGCGATGTAGTCGTAGTAAACAGCGGGTCCTTCTAGCCGCTGATTTATTCATATTTTAGCTGGTGATTGTTATGAATCATGTAGATGTATCCGAGGAAATAATGAACAAGTAGTGTTCAGCGGTAATTAATGAAATACTTTTTTTGGACACTTAAATGAACCGTCTTCACTTGTTGTCCGGCCCCAGCATAATTTCTGTTCTCCGGGGATTTGCTGGTCAAGCCATTGTGTTTCCCTGGAGTAGCGACGACAGTCTGATCAAAATGGGTCCCAGGTCACCACCAGAGGCAGTTGCCGCCCTTGTGGGTCAGAAGTAGATTTGGCACTATGCGAGTAGTTTGATACGAAGACGCTTGTGGATCCTGGTATTAGTTTACTCTTACCTGGGCTTCCTGATGGAAACGCCGGATTCAGCTTGGGAGACCGTACTGGGAGGAGGAATGTCCCGTTGCATATTGCAGCCCGGCACCCAGGAACACCCCACACCTCAAGCCACGATGAGCTGGTAAACCGTTGGGAGGGATTACAAGGAGGGAAAAATTGATGAAATAATTGAAGTGAAGTCGTAACGACTCGCTCACCAAGACAATTTGTAAATTGTCCCAGAGAAAAGTTTACTAACATAAAAGAGTGGAACTAGTTATGGTAGGTGATTGGAGCTGATCACCTTTCCACTTGGTGTTGAGTAACACTTAGGACTTGTTTAAACGGCGTAATAATGTTAACTGAACTTGCACAAGTCAATGTTGAAGAAGGTTCCCTTCGTTATTACAAGCTTACGTCTTTTATAAGGGAATGTTTGTTAGTGTGTCCAAACTTATGTAGTTATGGGTGACTTTATGTCCATTGGATTCTGTGTGATGCTGAAGTATGGATTTCTCTGGTCACTTTAGATGTTTTATTGAAGTAGAAAGACCGAAGGCCTGCTTATTTTCGTTGGCATCATTCACCTTGCATTTCTTAAAAATGATAAAAGGATAAAGCTGTGGGCGTTGATCAATCCTTGAGGGACGCGCTTTGCATTCGACTTCATTATAAGCATCACTAGAGGTGACTGAATGCATATATGTTCTTTACAATGACTCGCGGTGGCCTACCGATGTGTCGATCCAGTGCTGCCACCCTCCCAGGCAAGTCTGGTACCAGTTTGCACACTCCAGAGGAATGGAGGGTTTGGTGGGTCTGGGGCGCGGGGATCGATCCCATTTGTACTGCGGGCCACACTCTTTCTTCTTTGCGCATTTCTTAAAGGTCAGCATTTCCAGAATGCCTGAGCTCGTCAACCACCAGCTTAGGTCGCTGTGCAGCTAGATGTGAAGCACAGCTATGGTACTAGAAATAAAGTTCGTTGTTCATAAGTGCTCGCACTTCGCCTTAGTTTCCTTCCATTACTTTTCCTACGGATCTTTCTTTTATGGACGCTGCCCATTTGATTTGTTGCCTACATTTGATAGAGTTATAGTGGGGTTGAATCCGCTGTAACACTGGAAACTTTGAAGGATAGAATAGTCATTTGAAAGTCATTTTGAAATGCTGGATTAGAATGAATATCTTTTTATTTTCCGCCTGTATCACTATAGTATTTCTGCAAACTCAGTATATTTGTGGTTGCTAGATCAGAGTTTAGGCCCTTATTAGGCAACGTTTTTTCCTCTCAATCGTTATGCGAGCAGTACGTCCGTCATTCGTTTCATTGCCGCAGTCGTCCTCCAGGGACGGAATCTGGGTTACTATGTGAATTAGGCGATGATTTGACAGCCTATTCCCACTCTTTTCGTGGGTTCCTTCGAGTGTTGGTTATGTTTGGGCAGGCCCGGGTTTTCCACCAGTGATCTTGGACCTTATAGAAGAGATTTCTTACTTTAACACTACGATTCCTCTATGATGACGACTATTCCCAGAATTTTTCCATCGTCCAACATAGCAGGACCAGCGTAGTTAACCATATTCTTAGTGTCAATCTTTATATGTTCTATCTTTAGCTTGAAATCGGACAACCTCAGATTCGATTCTCGCACGTATCAGCACTTTTTCGCGAAGCCATGAAAAAACTTCCGAAACAAATTTTAAAGAAATCTTTGTAAATTCTGTGGGTCGGAATGTATGCCGGTTACTTGGGCACAGTAAGTCTTAACAAAAACTTGATCTCAAGAGTTACGAATGATAAAATTACCACCGAGGTTACACAGAGTGTATCATCCTTCCAGTCTCGAAGAAAAAAAGGAAACAGTTGGAAAACTAGGAAGCCTAGATTCCATTCGAGTAGGGTTTCCACGTATTTTTGGTATCTTTGATTGGCCATTGAGAATGTGCTTCAGGTCGTAAAGTTTTTCATCAGAACGTTCGTGATTACACCGCTCCAGATATTCACTATCCCTTTTAGATTCTAGCCCTACCTACCAGACTGGGGCTCTAAAAGGAACTTGCCTGTGTCGCCAGGTTTCTACTAGAAGTAGGTAAGAGATCGCTACAAGGATTTAGTTTGTTTAGGTTGATTTAGTTCTGCATTTTATTTCTCATAGAAGTATTTCTCTGACCTACTGATTTCTTTTAGCATGCCTCGTACATTTGAAGAAGAGTGTGGTTTTATCGAACGAGTTTCACAATGCAAGTTCAAAATCAAGAAAGGGTTTGTTCCAAACATGAATGTGAGTTTTCAAACCTATTTTTCAGACCATTTATCTTCTGAATTATATGAAACAACCCTAAGATGATATAGGTGGAGTGCCGGTTCTACGTCAACAAGAAATTGGAAGAACAAATGTTTGAAGAATTACGATTGTCAATCGGACGAGTTGAGTATTTTTTCTTGAACATTTAAGTTACTGGTTCCTATATCTCAGTAGTTTTACATGGATATGAGGATTATAGGAGTGGTCAGTGGAAGCGTTTGAGAGGATTCGGATAGCGTTTTGTCTTCTGCTTTTAGGTGTTGGTGGATTTCTGCCTGCTGTTCGTCAACTAGCAAATGTTGCTGCTCTGCCTGGTATCGTAGGGCACTCGATTGGCTTACCCGACATTCATTCAGGTTATGGGTTTTCGATTGGAAACATTGCTGCATTTGATGTCTCGAACAAAGAATCCGTGATCTCACCAGGTTAGCAGTCCTCCACATTTAATATTTTTGGAGCAATGAGGAAAACTTTACCTCGTATGCAATTTTGTCTCCGAAGTTTGCTTTAGGTTTAGAAATTCATTTGAAGAACCTTGTTTCATTTGATATGTAAGGTCTTCTTTGAAGAGAAAATATTTTATTCTCGTCGATTTGTCCCGTTTTCGTTCGAGTGGAATGATCGACGTCGCACTACCATGTTTGTCTTACTAAGCAGCATGGATATTTTACTTTAGGGGGTGTTGGATTTGACATAAATTGCGGAGTTCGCTTGATTCGTACGAATCTCTTCGAGGAGGATGTGACACCGGTGAAGGTGTGTTGACATTATTCCCGTCATTGTTAGCTCGTTACTGCATTGTCATTCAGGATCGCATGCCAAATGTTATATGAACCTCTACTGAAAATTCTTTTCGCTCCAATATGAAATTCCTTTAGGAACAGCTAACTCAGGCCTTGTTCGATTACATTCCTGTTGGAGTCGGCTCACGAGGTGCCATTCCAATGTCAGCATCTGATCTCGTTGAGTGAGTTGAAGTCTCACAACCTACTTGTTGGTTATTACTGTGAAAATGGGTTCATAAAACTTATATTATCATACTAAGGACCGCGTAGACCAATGGTAATGATACCATTCATCGCGTGCATGCACAGTTTCTGGTCCGACCTCACTAAGCCTCTCATCCTTCTGGAATCGGAGAATTGGAATCAGACTTGTCTGGGAATAGTTCAGTCCCTACAGTCTAAGTAGGCACGCTCTACTCCGGTTATTCCAGGTCTCCAGAGAGAATCGACGAGACCATCACTGAACAACATTCGTGACGAAGATTAAGAAATCCTTAAGCGGTAGCCGAACCCACACGCGAAAAGTTCGAAAACTTTCGTAGATTATGAATGCGAAGAAACGAATAGACTGCAAGAAGTGCTGTTATCCGCACAGTAGACATGAATACGAGTCGTGTAGAATACAATGGAATAAAAATATTGGTATAAATATCGGATTACATGAATGGCACCCCTTCATGAACAGTCTTGTTGTTTATGTCATAATTTGTGCTAGAACAAATGTTGGTTTTTGTTACCTTAGATTTCTTCCCTAGAAGCCCGAGAAAGAGGTAGCAGGCCGATCTCACTTTATCGCCACAAGCAGCCACTATTGCTTATATATTGGAAGTACATTCGCTCTCTTACGGCTAGGGCTTTTCCAAAATGACGGCGATGTCTGTCCTCGATTTACCTTTAGCTTGGTTTGGGTGCTTCAGCTGTGGAACGAACCCTTGCATTACATTACATCTCTACACTCACGAACTCCCTTAGTAACCGCAAAACGGCATGAGAGATTCAAAATAAGTTCTCCCAAATGATGTATTGAAACTCTTCGTTGGCGTTGTTTACAAAATATTGCGCATTAAACTGCAGTAGATTTATTCATTAAGTTGCCTTGAAATGGGAATAGATTGGACGTTACGAGAAGGTTATTCATGGGCTGAAGACAAGGAGCACTGTGAAGAATATGGTCGAATGCTTCAAGCTGATGCCACTAAGGTTTCAACTAGAGCGAAGAAGCGTGGACTTCCGCAGGTACTTAGAGATTTCTCCAAAAGAATCGAAGAAAACAAAACAACAAACAAAAACAACAAAACAACAAAGCAAACAAACAGCATTGTTTAGGTAGTCAGTGACCTAGTTCTAGAGTAGGGAATTGCAGTGGTGAAAATGTCAGTCACATCAGCAGGAAACGAAATGACAAGCTGATGAGTGATTTAGGTTGTATCTCTCTAGAAAAACGTGACCATTATTTTTACAGCTTGGTACCCTGGGGGCTGGAAATCATTACGCTGAAGTACAAGTGGTTGATGAAGTTTTCGACAAACATGCAGCAGCAAAAATGGGCATTGGTGATGTAGGTTAGCTCTTGATTCCTTCTCCTATTACCTCTCTTTTTCTATGATCGATAGACAACGTGTTTGAGGACAAGTGGTGGTGATGTTGCACTGCGGTAGTCGTGGACTTGGTCACCAAGTAGCCACTGATGCGCTGGTAGAAATGGAAAAAGCAATGGCACGAGACGGCATAGTTGTGAACGACAGGCAATTAGCATGCGCTCGTATCAGCTCTAGTGAAGGTTTGATAGATGTTCTCTTACTCATGTGGAATAAATCTGAGTATGATTTAGTATAACACCACACGTCTTTAAGCTGACATACAAAACCCGAAATATGAATGAAGCAAAAAACAAACTGGCTGAGAGAAAGGTGAAGCGAAGGAGCCGCATGATGTGGTAGTGAGCGCGTTAGCTCCCGGAAAGGGTATAGCGTGTTCGTTCCCCACCTCGGACACTTGCGGTCTGGAGTTTTGCAAATATCTCAGCATCACTGTGGTTGTATTCACATAATACCCCACCATGAAAAATTGTAATAGGCAGTAAATAGAAAACTTTAAATTATGAATGAAGTTGATAGATACATCTTACAATTGTGTTTTAGGTCAGGATTATTTAAAAGGAATGGCTGCTGCTGCGAATTTTGCATGGGTGAATCGGTCATGTATGACGTTTTGTGTAAGACAGGCATTTGCAAATACGTTTAAAATGCAACCAGACGATTTGGACATGCAAGTAGGTGTAGGCTGTTTGTTCTGTAGTACTTTCAATTCATGTACAGCAAAATATTAGACTTTGCATTTGTGATAATGTTAAGTTAATCTACGATGTTTCTCACAACGTGGCAAAAATGGAAGAGCACCTTGTAGACGGTCGACCAACGCAGCTCTGTGTGCACCGAAAAGGAGCGACACGTGCTTTCCCACCGCATCATCCCCTGATCCCCATTGACTACCAACTGACTGGTGTGTGTTAACGTATCCTTTGTTTGTGTATTATAGGTAAAAGGTGCGTGCAGCGCAGTGGACGAAAGCGCCCTGCAGCACACATGGGATTGATCCCCACGCCCATGGCCCACCGAGCCTTCCATCTCCGGAGTCGGCAAATTGGTACGACTTGTCTGGAAGGATAGAAGCACTAGCTCGATACATTGGTGGGCCACCGCGAGTCATTGTAAAGACTAGATATTCATTCAGTCACCTCCAACGATGCATAGTGAAGTCGAATGCATGGTGGTCCATTTCTCAGGGATTGATTGACGCCTGGAGCTTTGTCCTTTATGTTAAAGTTTTTGAGAATATATGCATACGTCGGTTCATGTTACCATCCATTCCAGGGCAGCCTGTATTGATCGGAGGTAGTATGGGTACATGCAGCTATGTGCTAACAGGAACAGAACGAGGCATGGTTGAAGCTTATGGTACCACCTGTCACGGAGCGGTGAGTTTAGGGAATAATGGAGGGATGAAAATTGTGGAAAGTGGATAGGATGACAACCAACGCGCGGTTTCTAGGGTCGCGCGTTATCACGATCGAAATCACGTCAGAAAATACCATGGAACGAGGTGATTGATAACTTGAAGAAGAAAGGTATCTCGATTCGTTTGGCTTCTCCAAAACTCATTATGGAAGAAGTGAGTTGCACAAATTTTTCGGAACATGACTTGTTGATATTTGAACGAACTCCTCCATGGAGTTCCGGTGTTGACTAAAACTATGCAAGGTAGTGATACATGTACGAAAGCAGTATAATCCATTTGTTGAATAAAATATCCACATATCTCATCATATGTGCTTTCCTTCGTCAAAAGGAATCTATTCTAGGCTCCGGAATCATATAAAGACGTCACCGATGTCGTGAATACGTGTGATATTGCTGGTATCAGTAAAAAATCCGTCAAACTACGACCTATCGCAGTCATTAAAGGCTAAGCTATGTTTTGAGCGTTGCATAAAATGGTTATTTGTAAAATCCTATTCTTATCACGTTGTTATAAGCATTGTCAATAATAAGGGCCACCTTTCATCAGCGAACGCTTAATATGAATATATTAAGTTGTTGTCGTTACGCGGTTTCCATTGCTGGTTTCTATTAAAGTTTTATTTATAACTGCGTTGTCCTGTCATGTTCTTCTCTTAAATAAATAAGCAAATCTTCAAGTCCAATACGCCTTTTAGCAGATACGAAAAACGTTCGATACTCTGGAAATAGACCTCTGTTGATACCATTATCCTGCTGAAAATAAGACATGGTCGTTACTGGAATAAGTAAGATAGCGGTACGATTCCCTGACTTAAGGTACCTTTTCATCAAGGTCGATCTTATTGAACACGATTGCAGTTGGTCGAACAGACAGTCCTTCTTTATATTCCTCTAATTCTGTCCGCAATAATTCGAACTGCTCCCGAAAATCACCTAGTGTGACATCCAGAATATAGAATAAACATCTGTAAACATGAAATCTCACGTACAGACTTACGAAACACGGATAAATAAAGCGAATAAGAAAAGCAATACCGGCATCTCTCGATATGCTTCAGGAACGAAACGCCAAGACCCCGATCTTCGTGAGCACCTTCAATAAGTCCAGGGATATCAGTCACTATAAGCTCACACTGTATTATGTGAACTGATTGAGATATACACGTAAAAGGGTATGGATATACCAGCAACTTGTTCAAAATCATCATAGTGAACAATTCCAATGTGTGGTTTTAGCGTTGTAAACGGATACGACGCTACTTTCGGCTTTGCCCGTGATACTGCACGTAGAAGAGAGCTATAAGTTATGACCATTGAAAAAAAGTAACATTGTATAAGTGATAATGCACACAAGTGGAGAGATTCCAACGACTCCTAAATATAATTAGCTTGAAGCCACTGTTTATTTATGCCAAAATCGGAGTAAATTAAGTTGATTATAAAATAAGGAATGTTCGAAGAAGAACCCAACGATTTTCCTGCGTTCGGGAATCCCACGAGACCTGCTGTAGCGATGACTCTCATTTCGACATCGTAGACAATCTAAAATAATTCAAACTTCTGTCTCTCAGTACATCAACTTCGTAGGAAACTTTGAAACTGAGAGTCACAGAAGTAGTTAAGCTAGCAGATTCTCCACGCTAACCTCTTCTCCTTTGCCTCCAACTTCAAATTTAAACGGCTTTCGTACTTCATTTGATACATAAAACTGATTTCCATGACCTCCTGCACCTCCACGAGCGCCCAAGAAAATCTGAATTTCACTATTGTTGCCGATGGAAATTTAGTGAGCAACGATAACTGTCCATACATCTCCTTCCCGTGGTAGTTCGAAAACAATCTTTCCATCGTTCTTGAAAAGCGTGCCAATGGGTACAGGAATCTAGAAATATCAAATTAACCACTGGAAATTGAAATAAATAAGATACAAATACAACCGTAACCGAACCTCAAGATGTTCAGCTGACTTTCCGTGACAAGACTTTGAAGATCCGAATTCACCTCTGTCTGCTTTTTCGACAGATCGAAGATGTGACAGATCTTTTATGTGTGAACATGCTAAGAAATAAGTTTGTAAAGAGAAATATGTGGACAATGTTATCAAGAACTCAGCGTATTGTGAATTAATGGACTTGTTCTTTGGGAAGAATTCTATAAATAATACCACCTCTAAAGAGCACATGTCCTCCATTACCACCATCACCACCGTCGGGTCCACCAAACGGCTTACGATAACCTCTGAAATGGGTTTGCATCAGAATCGAGGGCGGACACATAATCACATCACATAATACCTGAAGAAGGAAACCATCCCATTTCCTCCATTTCCAGCGATACATCGGACTCGGCGGTAGTCAACGAAGGTTTCGGCCTGCACAACGTCTTTTGAAATCAATCACAACTCCAACAATTATGTTAGTTTTTACAGTCACCACTAATATCCAGGATACTTAGGAAGAACAAAGAATATCGCAGAGTTTAAATATGTGAACTGTCTGATATACAAATTATTCAGCAACGATTGGAATCTGAATGGTTGTTTAGGGAACAATTTTGCCGGGTGTCTTTCGAAATGATGAGAACTTGCTTCCAAGTAATGTTCTAAACCTTCTTGTTCATATCATATGTCACTTTAAAGTAAAGTGCTCGATGTGTAACACTATGTTAATGCTCCTGTTTTACGTTAGTGTTTCAGCTTAAACTATCTAAGAGTTCTACCTAAAGATTTATGTTACTTACTTTGCTACTTGGATTGCTCGTCTTCACTGGTTGTGCGGACCCCAGCATAATTTCTGTTCTCCGGAGATTTGCTGGCTAGGCCAATGTGTTTCCCTGGAGTCCCGGCGACAGCCTGGCCAAAGTCTGCCAATGGTCTTCAGCACGACAGGCAGTCGCAGCCCTTGTGGGTCACAAGGACCTTGCCACCATGCGACTAGTTTGACACCACGACGGTGGTGGATCCTGGTATTGGTTTACTCTTAACTGGGTTTCGTGATGGAAACGCCGAACTCCTCAGCTTCGGAGACCCTGCCGGAAGGACCCTGCCTGTACATCGCAGCCCGACACCCAGGAACACCTCCTAGCCATGATGATGCAGTAAACTCTTGGTGGAATGGATTTACATTAGAGGCATTATTCATCCACCTCAAACCTCTGTACATTTTGAGAAACCAATGCCACTAAAACATATATGGAAGGTACTTTGTGACAAACCGTTCATTATCTCACTTAACTATCGTGCAAACTCCAGAAATAAAGAACCTCCAAATTACCTACACGGCTTCAAAGTAGTACGAGTAAAGTAACAGAATTACTATAAAATTAAAACAGGCACTCTCAAATCCTTTCGAAGCTTTGACTGTTCAGGAACTTTCTTCTCTGTTTTACTCTCCTCTGATACATGAAAGTTACAAATGCTCACCTCACCGGATGACCGGGCTTTTTTAGGAAATACCGGCTTCTTAGTTAGAACTACTGTCGATGTGTTACAATGACTCCACAACTTCTGACTCCAGAGGAGTAAATATGGTTGACGCATGCCTATTTGTCATGCTGAACTATGATGTCATTCTCAGGAACGAAAAAGAAATAGGAAACCACAAGGGGAACCATGAAGCCCACTAGCAGGTTATCTTGTAAATACAAAATATCTACAAGTTTTATTTGGCAACTCTTACACTTTTCCTGATAAACATGAAGAAGCCTATGACAGAAGAAAGTTGTAAGGTCAGTTAAAGCTGTACATTCACAGTATATACAAAAGAAAAAAGACTTGTACAGAAAGCATAGACAGCAAGATCAACTGGCACAGTAACTTAAATATTAGACAAGATTCAAATTATCACAAACAAGAATTGACAGTGTAAATGAACCATTAAGCTTGGTAAAGTCTCTTAGACTCTTAGAAAAAGTTCCTAGAACTCTAAAAGAGGTAGGAAAACTCTTAGAAAAAAGGTAGAAAAAGAGAAAGCCTCTAAGAAAGGTATACACCCCCCCCCCCCCCCCCCCCNCCCCCCCCCCCCCCCCCCCCTTGAACACGTGGAAATCGTGGCATTAAGCATTCTGGCAGTTCCAACATAAATCAATCAAAATCACATCAGTCTTCGCTTAGGACTAACGTCGTAAACCCCGGATACGTATAATAATACAAACGCTATATCGTTAAAGGTATAGAGGAGGAAGTAAAGTAACAGAGACCTGCAGTAAAGATCGGTAAGGTATCGATCTGGACATTAAAGCGTACTTCTTGCCTTGGTTAAATTTGACTAGAATATTTAAAGAACAATCCTTGAAGTAGAATGTTCAATGTTATCTCTAAGCTTAGTCCAAAAATTTTGCTGTTACGGTTTCAACCATCACAGCTTAAGAGCGTGCATTAACACAAGAGATTGGAAACCAATAATATTCAGAATTGTTTTTTGCTCCTTAAAACATCCAACACGGCAGTTCAGTTACTACTGTTCCTTAACACGTCAACACAGTACAAAAATACTGGCAGTAAAAGATACATACACTGAGAAAATGAAGAGTTAAACATGTAGTTGGGGAATCACGATGGCAACCTTGCTTCCAATTCTCTCTCAAGAGTAAGCCGTAACATTCGGCATTGATCATCCGTAAATCCGTGTTTTCGACCCAACTCTTTTGCTAAACGAGCAGCGTTGTCGGTCTGAAAATCTTCTGAGCTACTCTTAATAAGACGGCGACAAAAATATGCCAGTTGTTCATACGAAAAAATGGATTCTAAGCGAAGTAGAACTCACGTTCATCACAGTGACATCGACAGAATCACCAGTGTTCTTCTTTAAATTCAGTAGGAATAATGGTTTCGAAGGCGTGGAAGGATGAGCGCTTTCTGGACCTTGAGATGCAGAAATAACAACCACAAAGTGCAGAAAGAAACAAGAACTAGAGATCAACCTGCGAAATCACGGTCATGCATTGCATCTGCTTGAACTGGTATACGATTCCGAACCTGTAATTGTACATATTAAGAGATATGAGACGTTTTCCATCCATCACAGCCTACAAGAAAATGTGTTACAATAGCATGTATTTCCATATTTACTTGGATTAGCCACCCTCACTGGTTTTGAGTCCCCCAGCATAATTACCATTTTTCGGAGTTTTGCTGGTTTAGACATTGTGGTTCCCTGGAGCCCCGAGCACAACAAGGGCAAAATCTGCCCTGTTACAAGCACAGCCAGTCGCCGCTCTTGTGGATCACAGCGAGGTTTGCCTACAGGCGCCTAGTTTGATACTAGGATGGTCGTGGATGCTAGTATTGGTAGTCCCATATTTATTAAATTAAAATAAGGTGACTTGGACTATAAGTGAGTAAATCCTACCTTCTCTCTAAGTGATGTCTCCTCTATCTCGCTCACTATTGCTGGACATGGATTTCTCTGGAAATCTGATAAACTACGAGAAGATCTTTACCCTGTACATATACAGAAATATAGCTCCGAAAAGTAAGAAAGAAAACCTACTCGATCAAGAAAATCCCTCTTAAAGGTGGTTTCGTCAGACTTTGCTCGAAGATGAGGAGGTACATAAAGCTTGCATTCGATTAACAAATTCGATCTTCGCCTTTTGCCTTAAGGTCTTATAATTAGGGTTTTTCGGGGTTCCCATTCACTGAATGGCATACTTTTGTGAACTCTTCCTTGCGCCTCGATTTTCCTTTCCTCCATAACCTTATGATATTCATCTCTTAAAAAAGAGTTTGTAAAAACTTGGCAATGGTAAAAAGGCGAGAAAAACTGGTAATCAGTCAAAAACATAGTATCGTATGAACGAACCTGTCGATTTGATTCTTCACAATGGATTTAATGAAGCCATGGTTCATGTCTAAACCACGAAATCTGTTAAGGTCATGTCTATCCATATTCTGAAATCGTTCCTGAGCCCATTCAACTCAAACAAAAGCAAAACATCAACTACGAAAGGCTAAACAGAAGGCGTTACATTGTCTGGCTAGGTATAAAACCTTGCAGTGAAGAGCCGACTATTGAATTCTAATTTTTCCTAACGCTTAGGTAACAACAACCTCATGTTAGCTTAGCTTATCAATGAAACAAGGTACATCAATGATCTATACCGAGGTTAAATGAAAGTCGGTTTACAACAATATTGAGTTTCCGTTAGTCACGTGAATGGATCACCATTATTCTACTGAGTCATAACGAATGGGTTTTACACAGTGTTGTTACCAATTATTGGTCTGGTCTTGTCTGAAGACTTTCATCAGAACAAAAGCTTAACAATTCACATTCTAAATCTAAGTGATTCCTCACCATAATTGTGTTTTCAAAGATAAACTAAGCTAGGAATACTTTCCTAGATGATTAAGCTGAAAATAAAAAGAGAATAAGGAATGTCAAGCGGGAGCAGGGATGATCGTGTCACACTACAGGAGCTGATCAGTGTGAGGAGATAAGAAGATAACGAGGAAAATAATGTTAAACGAACAGAATCACCACTTCTTAAGTGGAACCACGAAACTGACTGAGAAAAATACAAAGGGACTACTAGTTTTAAGTGCTTTAAAGTCAGAAAAATCGATATTTCGTGGCGATTAGTGTAACAAAGTGTTCAATGGACTCACTTCCTGTTGTCGTTGAATGGGAAACACATCAGCGAATGGCGATCCCCTTTGAAAAACATCATAATTCTCGTTAATGTGACCATATATGGATGAAAATTTATTCCCGTAGCACTTTATGTTCACAATATCCCTCCAGGGGACCTTGGAATAAACCAATAACGAGATCGGTTGTTCATCTCCTTTCAGGAGAATGTCTAGAACTCTGTTAATGCTAATCTTACATAGAGAAGTGTACAAAAGTGAAGGAGAGGACGTAAAGTGTAAACTAAAAGGTCGTGCTGTTCGTTTTTCCAATTACCTGATCCTAACTTCCATTACTACTAATATAATATTACTACATAACTCGACAAACATTGTAGGAAGGCAAGCCTTCCATTAGCATTAGCGAACGGCAGAAAGAAGCAATATAAAGTATGTAATGATTATAAAGATGATATGATGAATGAAAAAGTGAATAATAAGTGATAAAAAGTAAATGCAAATGACGACAGAAACGTAGAATATAGTTAGCTTCGAAACTGTAGTAAAACCACGTCTTAACAGTTTAGTACAGAACTTACACGCTCCCAAAACTTCGTAATAGAAAAAATGTCCAATAAAAACCTTAAGGAGAACATCTTAGGTACCGTTCCAACCAAAAAGAAAGGATGGTGTAAGGATTTCATTCCTCGAAGGACTTTTTTCGAACGGGTATCAGAGAGAATCATATGATTCAAATGGGCGGAGCAAAAGTACTGCACTTACGTCCAGGCGGTTTGTTTGATGTTCATTTTTTTCTTTCTTTTGCTTGATGTTTGATGTAATACGGATTTTACCTAAACATTTAAATCTGACTACATTCCAGTTCATTTAGGACGCGTGTGGCGCAGTGGTCGGGGCGCCGTTTCAGCACACATGTAGAATCGATCTCGCGCCCATGGCCCACCAAGCCTTCCATCCCTCCGAGGTCGGCAAATTGATACCAGACTTGTCTGGGAGGATAGCAGCACTGGTTCGATACATCGATAGGCCACCAGGAGTAATTGTAAAGACCAGATCTGCATTCAATCACCTCCAAACGATGCTTGATGAAGTCGAATGCATGACTCATCTTTCAGGAATAGATCAACACTGAGAGCTTTATCCTTTATCCTTTTACCTAGCGAACTGGGTATGTGTAGCGCAGTGGTGAGAGGCGCTCCGCAATACACAGTGTATTGATCCGCACCCTCCAGATTCGCCAACCCTTCCATCACTCTGGGTTTGGCCAATTATTACCAAACTTGTCTGGGAGGATAGCAGCACTGGTTTGATGTATCGGTAGGCTACCGCGAGTCAGTATATGGGTCATACATGCATTCAATCACCTCTAACGATGCTTTATGAAGTCGAATGCATGGCGCATCCCCCACGGATTAATCATCGCCGGGAGCTTTATCATTTATTATCCTTTTATTCCAGTTCATATTGTTGTTTGCTACCTCTACCTTAGCGTATTGATGAATGAACTACTCAAATATATTTTTCTTCTTGCTTTTTTACTTTGATGTCTACTCGAAATCGTTTGAAAACCAAGAAAAAAACCTGATTGTAAATTCAAATTCAGGTGTGGATGGTATTGTAAACGATGTTATCCTAAAAGGAGTTAAATATTTCCATCTAGATGCCAGCGAAATAGTACAATAGTGCTAGGAGTTGTTTTCGTCGTGAATGAAACCTAATAGTAAGGTGGCGCACCCACCCCATCCCGCACTCTTTCCCAACAGCAGCCGCTTCTGGTGACGACATGGGAACAAAATGGTGTGAGGTATAAGGAACAACGCTGAAATAGAGCATAATCTCCATTTTTTTGTAGCTTTCGTGGTTTAGTCATTGTGGTTCCCTGGAGTCCCAAAGTCAGGCAGGCCAAAGCCTGCTCCAGGTCATCACCAGCACAGGCAATCACCGCCCTTGTAGATCGCAAGGAGATGCCACCATGCCACTAGTTTTGTACCAGGACGGTAACAGATCCTGGTATTGGTTTACTCTTAGCTGGGCTCCCTGATGGAAACGCTGGAGTCCTTCTCAGTTTGAGAGACCCTGGGATTAAACCTTGGGACGAATCCCACTGCTACATATCACAGTCCGACACCTAGGAACACTTCCTACCCACAATGAGGCGGTAAACCGTTGGGAGGTAATCCAGGAACATGCTATTTAAATGGAGAATTTATTGTGACCCACAAGATGCTTTGTGAAGAAAGTTCACTGAAGTATTCGGGTAAGTAGGTCGAGTTTCAGTTCAAGAATCGTCCGACTTCACAACGATTAAATGACATGAGTTCCAAAAGATGAAAGAGAACTGACCTAATCTTTTAGTATGTTTAGATTAATAACAGTCAGCGACATCGGTAGATATAAAAACTGATGGGAATAAACTAAAAACTACATTGCTAACTTTTTATTTACGGCCTATTACAATTTTTCATGGCAGGATATTACGTGTGATATAACCTCAATGATGCTGAGATATTTGCAAAACTCCGTACCACAGGTGTCTGCGGTGGGGAGCGAACACGCTATTACCCTTTCCGGTGGCTAACGCATTCGCCACTTCACCATGCGGACCCTTCGTTTCGGCTGTCTCTCAGATAGTTCTATCGATCACTGCCATCAACAATGAGCCGTCAACGGGACTGATCTAGGGAGCATAGTCGGCAACGAACCAAGACCTGAATCGAGCGATAGTTAGGTTTTCCATCTAGCCAAATTACATCTCCTACTGCAAGTGATGAAGAAGTTAGAAAAAATCAACACATACAAACTTGATGATGATGATGAACCTCTCGGCGTTCACCAATTCCTGAGTGATGCGCCATGCATTTGACTTAATCAAGCAGCGTTTGGATGTGATTGAGTGCAAATCTGGTCTTTACAATGACTCGCAGTGACGTACCGTTGTATTGAACCAGTGCTGCTATCCTACCAGACAAGTCTGGTACCAATTTGCCGACCCCGGAATGATGGAGGGCTTGGTGGGCCACGTGCGTGTTGCAGGGCGCCTCCGACCGCTGGGCCGCACGAGCCCAATCACGCAAGGTTATAAAGGGATGAAGGATAAAGCTCTTGGTGTTGATCAATCACTGAGAGATGCGTCATGCATTCAACTTCACCAAGCATTGTTAGAGGTGACTGAATTTGTATATTGCCTGTACAATGGCTTGCGTGGCTTACCCATGTATCAAGTTAGTGCTGCTATCTCCGGAGACAAGTCTGGTACCAATTTCCCAACTCCGGAGGGATGCAAGGTGTGGTGAATCCAAGGCGCGGGTTCGAACTAAGGACCATATATGTGTTACAAGGCTCTTCTAAGCGCTGAGCTACACATACCACGAAGAAAGGATAACGCCGTGAGATACTGATGACGTCGAGGCTATCGTAAATCGATGTGCCATTGATGACGTCGACTCGTATGAAATCCTATCAAATCATCACGCTATGATCTGTTAAGAAAATCATTACGAACATGGATGTAGGCCAAAATAACATTGCGTAGCTTTCCACAATGATAACGACGAGAATTACCGAACACGAAATCTCAACTACCTGGTTTTCATACCCCACAAGACGGCTGCACGGTTGCATAAAGAAGTTCAACTACTCTTAGTCTACATGTCAGTTAGAAGAGTGCAATGAGGATGCCTGATATAAATAAAAGAGAAATTACCTAATACTCTTATTTAGTATATGAATTGTAATACACCCATCTTGGTACCGTAAGTCACATACCTCATGTTTGTGGACCCAGTAAACTTAAAGAAAAACGATACAAATGTGTCTCTATGAGGTTGATGAACACCAAGCTCTCTCTTTATTCACTGTCACGTAGGACCCACAGAAAATTTCGGTATTTCATCACAGGGGAGTTCTTGGACGTAGAACTGTAATGCATTGCAAAGATTCGCTCCCTAACAGGAGCACCCAGGCCAAGCTAAAGGTAAATCGATGCCAAGAATCTCTCATTTTGGAAAATCCCTAGCTGCAGTACAACAAGTGTTCGTCCAATCCATAAGCGTTGGCGGTGGTTTATCGCAACAAAGTGGGATCAATCTGCCACTGTTTCATCGGTATTCTAAGGAGAAATCCAAGGAATACAAAAAGCAACATTTACTCTAACAGAATTTATGCCGTGGCCAACACGATTTTTCACGGGAAGGGGCCATCCATGTGATCTCACATTTCTATTCTATTCTATCCTATTCTATTCTACACTAGTTTTCAGATCCACTGTGCGGACCACATACGTCATTTCTCACATTCGATTCGTCTTCCTTGTATTCTTCTTCCAGAATGATCTTCCAACACTTCGCATGTGGATTCGGCTGCTGTTTGAGGACTCTCTTATCTTCGTTACGAACGTTGTTGAATGCTCGTTAAGTGGATTCACCCAAGAATCCTAGGATAACCGTGCAACACGATCCGATGTATACTGGAGGGAATGCGTTTGTCGGAGATGTGTCTGATAATGCTTTCCTGACCCCGGACAGAAGAGAGGCTTGGTGGGCCCGATGCGAAGTTGAACCAGCTTTTAGATAGGTTGGCTCATCCGAATAATAAACTAGATCACTACATCTGCGTTGCTTGCTCTCTGACGACACATCTATTTTTAAGAACGTTATAATAGTGGTAGCACGTAATCTACCTACCCACCACAAAAAACTTGCCTTCGTAAACTTCCTTTGACGCGAATTTGACCTCAGGAAGCCGTCAAGTTACTTATACTCTTCAAAGGTAATAAAAATTCAGAACGTAAAACGTTGCCAGATCTGATACGGTAGAATTTTCTATCGCACGTTACAACTTGGTCAAGAAATTGATCATTTCTTCGTGAGAGACACGCTTCGGAATATCAGTTTCTTTGAATGTCGTTCAATTCATACAACTTTCTTACTGTTCTCTTACTGGTGATTAGTTTCTTAGCCAATTGTCGAACTACACTGTGCATGGATCTGTTTCAGTTAGTGTTTTCAATGCTGCCTTCTACAATTTTTCACGGCAGCGTACTAAGTGAAATGCAACAATAATGATGCTGAGATATTTCCAAGGCAGAAAGACAGACGAAACGAAAGACCTGCAGTGTATAATGGTGAATACGTTAGCATCCGAAAAGGGCAATAGTGCGTTCGTTCCCCTTCAGGTGTCTGAGGTGCGGAGTTTTGCAAATATCTCAGCATTGATCAATAGAAGTAACTGAGAGACAGGCGAAACGAAGGACCCGCATGGTGTGGTGGTGAACGCGTAACCCCCGGAAAGGACAGTAACGCGTTCGTTCCCCACCGCAGACACCTGACTTTTGCAAATATCTCAGCATTTTTGTGGTTGTATCCTAGCATTGTTATGGATATCGCTCATGTTTTGAAATCAGCGTTACTATGTACTCTTATTCACATTTCCCTATTTTTAACACATAAAGGACGGTCTGCGATTAGCGCGGCAGGCTTAGTCGAACAACAGCAATTCGTCGTCGGCTGCCAGCTTTTTAGTTCTTCCAGAACAAACAATAGATTTCCAATAACTAGACTTGAGGGGTTGTGAACAGGACGGAATCGTAGAAGAAGCATTGCTCTATCGTTTTATAGGTATTTATTATGGTCCGTCACGTAAATATATTGATGTCGGCATTTGGAAGCATTCTATAGCCCATGTGGAGCCTATTCCAATATTTCCATAACTGAAAATTCCATACGATGAATACAGTGAGTAAATTGAGATAACCGTAAATTAGCTGAAAGAAAAGCAGAGCAAAGGCTTCCATGGCGCAGTGTGAATGCGCGGTCCCCCAAGAGGGAAATCGTGGTTCGACCTGGCCCAGGGTCCAAGTTTGCGAATATCTCAGCATCGTTGTGGTTGATTTCGCATAATACCATACCCCGAAAGTTGTAGTAGGGAGTAAATGAAAAAGTAAACATTTTAATAAGTCGTTGACCAAATTACCGGTTAGTGAACTTGTCCGAAAAATATTTCTCGCAAAGCATTAAATGTAGAGAATGGCTTTTCTGACCCCTCATACGTCGATCTGCTTTCGTATAGGTAACGAGTGAATATTCATACCTTGGCAAAAATGTTCTGCATCCTTTTGAACCAAAAATAGGTACTACGCCCAAATCGTTCGTTATGCATTAAAGATGAGTTCGATACAGTGAATGTCTTATGAAGGCCAACACCTGAATTTTAATCCAAATGCAAAATTGTCGAGGGTTTTTTTAATTCTCAAGTTCTCTACGTTGAAGATAAAGATGAGAGACAAAATAAAGTTGGAAAACGACTGTAGAGCGAAGCTTTTGACTTAACTTGAGATACAATGTGAAAACAAAGAAATTGAACTGCATTGCTCAAAAAAGTCGAAATTTATGAAGGCGAATAATACTAAAGATGAACTTTAGTGGTGCTGAGATATTTGGAAAACTCCGGACCGCAGGTCTCTGCGGTGAGAAACGAACGCGCTATTGTCCCTTCCGGGAAGCGACGACTTTAGTCAATAATTCCCAGACCGTTCAGTTAGCTGTGGAACTGAGACGTAGTGTGATACCCTCATCTATGTTGGTGACCTTACGTAATACGTAAAGAACCCTGCCGCTCAGTTTTCTCGATCAGTACTATAAAGGTCTCAACAGATACCTGTAGGCTACGATGGTCGAAGTGTCAGAAATGAATCGTCACTGTCTCGTAGAATCCATAAAAGTTGAAAACATAAATACCACCTAAGTAATTACCAGTTGTGAAGAAATACATCCTGAGGAGAACACTGTAACTAGACAGGACGAGTCAGTTTCATTTCTATTCTGTACTACGCTACACCAGTAATTTAAGAACATTCTAGAAGCCTTGTGACAAATTCTTCTTGCGGTATGTAGTGACTGACAAAGCCTCAGTTGTGGAAAACATCTGGAACGTTCTGCCTGTTGCATTTCATTTTGATATAATTTGGCAAAAAAAATCTTTATCAGTATACACTATTCCATTTACAATGTGTGTCAAGAAAAAAAGTAGGCGATCAATGATGTTAATCAAGCTCTAGCTTTATGGATATCATCACAATGGCCACTTCTTGGATGATGACTATTGAATCTTGCCTGTTAAAAATCGACAGTGATTGGAGTTTCCGACCATGTAAGACTTCAGACCTTGAGGATAAAGATAGCACTTTTCGCAAGAAAACGTAGCTGATCCGAAACTCTGAGGACTAAATGGGCACAACTCATTATTAGTAGGATATCAATCAATCACACTGTTGAGATAAAAAGAATGTTACAGCCTTCTTTAAAGATTTCATACGCCATCGAAAAGACCGCTTCACTGTCGTATCTTTTACATACCGCTGCATTTAGGCTGACAAGCATGTATGAGCCCTACTGGAAAGGATTAGGTATGTTGCTTAGTGATCGCTATATAGTCAGGAGAGACTAGTTCAATTAGCAATTTGGTTTACTGCTTACATAATATGAAACTGTAAAACAATGCAAAGTTAGTAAAGGGAAAGAATTTCCGCATAATCCGTATCGTCAGTTATCTATGCTATGGCATCCATTGTCTGAAAGGCGCTCGACGTTGAGATCGGAACGCATCAGCGGTTAGCGAATACTGAAGCAGGTGCTGATATTCGTTAATATTCCGTTCTTCTGACGCTTCGATCAGCGCAATCTCCTCACGGCTACGGCGTAACACTGAAGCAGTAGAAGGCAACTAGAAATCCACTCAAGTAAATCAGTACAATGCTAGCTTTTTTACTCCCTGCCTACTACAATTTTTCACGGCAGGATATTATGTGGAATACAACCATAATGATGCTGAGATTTTTTGCAAAACTCCGGACCGCAAGTGTCTACTGGGGGGATCGAACACGATATCACCCTTTCTGGGGCTAATGCGTTCGCCATCACACCATGTGGATCTTTCGTTTCCCCTGCCTTCTATCTACCGCTGCCAACGAAAGACCCGCATGGTGTGGTGGTGGACACGTTAGCTCCCGGAAAGGGTAATCGCGTGTTCCATCCCAACCACAGACACTTGCGGTTCGGAGTTTTGCAAATATCTCAGCATCATTGTGGTTAAATCAGTTTCGAGAGTCCATAGTTTACCGGCACCGGTTATACAATAGGGTACCATATTTGCAAAGAAAAATCTTCGGAAGAGTATCAATTCATTGAACAACTACGTGTTGAACATGACAGTGCCACTGTGGTTCTTTAAGGCTGTGCCAAAAGTGCATATCGATTTCTAGGGTGTGTCATATTTTCTCGTTCGAATTCGTTGTTCACGAGGCTTTATGAAAAATAGGAGCAAACTATTGACATGTAGTGTTTGACATTCATAGAGCAAACCAGTGCGGAAAAAAATGACCGCTTTCAACATCCAAACCAATATTTTTCCGCTCATGTCGGAAAATAACGAAAACGAAACGAGAAGGAAAGAAAAACAACAACTATAATGCTGAGATATTTGCAAACTCCGGACCGCAGGTGATGGCAATAGATCGATAGAACTAGCTGAGAGACAGGCGAAACTAAGGACCCGCATGGTGTGGTGGTGAACGCGTTACTCCCCAGAAAGGAAAATAACGCGTTCGTTCCCCACCGCAAACACCTGTGGTCAGGAGTTTTGCAAATATCTCAGCATTATAGTACTTATATTTCGCAAATACTCTGTCGCTAAAAAGAATAGGAAGTAAACAAAAAGTTAAGATTGTGATTAAAAACAACAACTTCACTTTTTTGCAAGGATTATTTTTCAAACAAAAAAGGGCTTCGATCTTCTAGAAATTCTTTAGAAACTCTACAAAATTAAAACTCATTTTCATTTTCGATCACTTGACGATTTCAACCCTAAACTCATTTAAGTTTGTTGTAATAGTTAAGGATATAGACTAAAGCCATTTATCTACACGCCTAAAATTCTCAAACGCTCCTAAAACTTTAGCGACCTAAAAATCATCATAGTCTGTTGAAAACTCAGCTTATCACAACATGTGATAACACTGTGTCTATTTCGTTTTAAGAAACTTAAGTGACCAATTAATCTTTCTCAAGCGAATATAGCATAAGTGAAAGATTTCGTACAGCTATATTCCTCGTCAGACTTTTTGTCAGATCCAATCAATTAAGACGAAATAGAAATTTCTAAAAACAAACTAGGCTTCAAGTGCAAAAACGTCTCCACGATGTTATTCAGTGCCGGATCCAACTTGATGCATAGGATGGTGGTACGACACTGAAACCATTCATTTATCGTGCCGATCGGTTAGCACCTAGAGAACCGTCTAGAACGAAAAATACAACATGATAAGCAGTAAATTATAAAAGATTACGCTTTAAGGCTTTTTCCTCAAAACTCCAACCGCCCGAAAGTGCTGTATTAACGTAATTTCACAGCTATTTACGATCGTTACTTGGTTTTTCTTTTCGTATTTACGTGTCCCTGATACAACTATCCTCCCAACGGTTTACCGCCTCATCGTGGCTGGGAGGTGTTTCTGGGTGTCGGACTGCGATGTACAGCGGGGGATTCATCCCCTGGCAGGGTCTTCCAAGCTGAGAAGGAGTCCGGTGTTTCCATCAGGAACCCTAATTAAGAGTAAACCTATACCAGGATCCACCGTCCTGGTACCAAAGTCGCATGGTGCTAAATCTGGTAAATCTCCCTTTGATCCACAAGGACTGCGACTACCCGTGATGGTGAAGACCTGGGGCAGATTTTGGCCAGGCTGACCTCGGGACTCCAGGGAACCATAATGGCTTAACCAGCAAATCTTCGAAAAATGGGGATTATGCTGAGGCCCGCACAACCAATGAGGACGGGCCATTCAAGCATCAAGCATCAAGTAAGCAAGATACAACTATATGAAATACATAAGCAAATAGAAGTTGAAAATATAAAAAAATAAGAGCAAAAAAGTGTGACCTTATACAACCGTAAGATAATTAAAGTACTGGAAGAGTGGGAAAGAAGTGCGCTTTCACTTACCTGAGGACATTTTCCAGAAAAGCCGGTCTGTCTAAGCCACGATAACACACACGAATAGCAGCACTTATGATTGCATGGATCAATACTGTAAGCGGATTTTCATGAGGACAATGATGAACAGATCAATGAACGGCGGCCCTTTAGTAGAGTATTTACCAAACATTAAGTAGTGTAAAGTGTTAGTATTGTGGAGTAATTTAGTATTTAGTAGAGTATTTAAGACTTATTTACTTGAATACTTGGCCGGCCTGTGCTCACAGGTTGTGCAAACTCCAGCATTTTTCGGAGCGTTGCCGGCTTAGCCATTGTTTCCCTGGAGTCTCGAGATTAGCCTGGCCGAAGTCTGCTCGTCATCACCACAACCAGTCGCCTCCTTGATGGATCATAGAGAGATTTGCCACCATACGACTAGTTCGATACCAGGACGGTGGTGGATCCTAGTGTTGTTTCACTTTTAGCTAGGCTTCATAGTGAAAACTCCGGACTCCTTTTTAGTCTGGGAGACTCCGCGGTGGGGATGAACACACCCACTGTACATTGCAGTACGACAGCCAGGAACACCTCTCAGCCACGATGAGGCGGTAAACCGTTAGGAGATTAGGGGGTTTAGGAATTAATTATTAGTACATATCCGCCTAACGACAAAAGAGAATGAAGTATTAATCAAAGCAAAACGTACTTGACTGGTTTGAAGAATATATTCAGACAAACGCAACATGTTAGATTGGCTTCTAGTTGATTAAGCGACAATGTCTCATTCTGTTCTTGTCGAACTACCTTAACCACAAATTCCACTGATTACAGAATCGATATTGCTGGGTAAAAGCGAGATATTCATTGTTTTCAACGAATAAGTTGAAATCCATCTATAACACGAGCAAACATTCCGTCATCCAATCATCAGTTAGCACAAGATACTTCCAGGTCTTAAGAATATGATTTTGACAATTTTCATCGATTCCTTTACCACCCCAAAAAAAAAGCAAACCATTCTGAGTATTGCTAATAGGCGAACTCTTGTGCGGACAATAAACAAGCTTATACAAGAGTCTTAACTGTTCCACTTATACCTGCTGATTCACAGTAACTCCCATCTGCAATTTTTTAGGGGTATAAGATGAACGACCTGAAATTAGGATTTTGAAAACATCTAAGCGATAAAATACGATGAAAGTAAGAAAACGAACGTCTCGATTGCGATATAGATGCAGATGATTCAGGTATTGAAGAGGATACCGTGGACTGAATCTGATGTGTTGACGAAGTAGCCTCATTCACAGCCTCACTTTCTTCGTTGTAGAAACAAAAACTTACACTACGAGGATCTAAAATTTATTGAAAAATCGATATGATCAAGAGACAAGCCTAATTCAGAGCGATTCAAACTCAAGTTATCCTCTATTTCCAGTGGAAACCTAATGTTGTATTGTATTAGATTTTTGGCGAAACTTTCAAATTTCTGAGGTGACATAGACACAATTCTGAATCGAGTCCTTGAAGAAATGGCATCAGTATCTATAGAGCCGATTTGGTTGAACATCTATGCTAAAGAGCATAATAACCCACTTCCATGAATGTTTGACGGCGGAAACGAGAAAAAAAGGAATCAAATTCAGAAGAAAAGTGCTTCTCACCCCTTGAGATCGTCACCATATCACCAGTCACGAGATTTTTCTGCCCCCTTCTTGATACCGGTGAACCATTCACAAATACGCTTGCCGTTCTAAACAAATCTCTTGAAAAACGTTATATTTACTTACTTGATACTTGATACTTGAATGGCCCGTCCTCACTACTTGTGCGGACCCTAGCACAATTTCCATTTTTTGGAGATTTGCTGGTTAAGCCATTGTGGTTCTGTGGAATCCCGAGGTCGGCCTGGCCAAAGTCTGCCCCGGGTCGTTATCACAGGCAGTCGCAGACCTTGTGGATCAGAGGGAGATTTGCCACTATGCGACTTTGATACCAGGACGGTGGTGCATCCTGGTACTGGTCCACTCTTAACTAGGCTTTCTTATGAAAACGTCGGGCTCCTTCTCAGCTTGGGAGACCTTGCCGACAGAATGAATCTCCCTCTATACATCGCAGCCCGACATCCAGGAACACCTCCCAGTCACGACGAGGCGGTAAACCGTTGGGAGGAAATGTCATATTTAAGAGAAACAAGTTAATATCACAACAAAACAACGATTGTAAAAGAGAGTTGCCATAGTTCCAGTATATTTTTACACTACAGAAAATATCCCAGGTGTAGAGAAAAATTGGATCTACATCAGCGGAAAGCTATTGTTAAGTATAAAAATAGCTACCGCTCATATTAGACGTAGTTTATACATGTTGACTGCAATGAAATCCTACTTTAACCTTCGTTATCAACATCACCTGGCTGGAGCCGGTTTGATGGAGTACTGTACCGCTCCTCTAAGAACATTTTTAATCAGTTCTGCATGGATACCAGCCAAATAGGGGCTCGCAAGAGAAATATCACAACCTGAAGATTGATCTACAGTGACTCATTTTCAGTTTCAGTTAATCTTGACTTCATTCACCTAAGGGATGGATGAGAAAACTAACGACGCTTATACTGAATTCGTTGTTAGCGAAACAAAGAAAACTCCAGACAGTAATAAACACAAAAAGAAAATTTGGCATACAAGTTAATTTTATACACTATTGTCAGAGGCTCAACTAAAGCAATGCTTATAGATGCGATACAACAATACCGGTAAGGTATACAAGTTAGACTTTACATCTGGTCCATCCGTCCAGGGTCGGCAAACTTGTGCCAGAGTGATCTGGCAAGAGATTATTGCAATCCAGAAAGCCTCACAACTGCTTAGCGGAAAGCTGTAGAAATAACCCAGCACTATTGCTGCCAGGTTTCGGAGAGTTCATACTCTACCAGCAACATCCACATTTTCTTACTTCACATGGTCCATCCTCACATCTACCGTGTGCAGCGCAGTAATGCTTTCATCGTTTCGTTTCCTCGCATTTGTTATCCACGAAGGCCTTTAAACTTCTCACGTGCGGGCACGGTTGGTGGTTTAGGATTGTCGCCTTTCATTACGAATGCTTTTGAATCCTGAACAGTTCGACTCTCCAATGAATGCTGGGATAGACGTACTGAATCTTTCCTGCGTGAAGCTCTAGGAGTGCGTTGGGCTCAGACAAGCTTGGTACCAATTACCCGACATCGGAGAGATGAAAGACTTAGTGAGCTCGCGGCGGCTCAAACCAGAACCGCACTCGTGATAAGCGGTAGCACTATCACTGCACTACTCGCTCATTAACGTTCAAAACAAAGATCAATCCCGCAAGAATCCACGCATACCAAAGACATTCACGCAATGGTAGTGGTACAGATTAGGACGAATACGCTAGTAGTTGGACCCCGCCCAAACACCATCAAGCCTCCCATCCGTGCGTAGTCGGGAAATTGGTGCCAGACTTGTTTGGGAAAAGTTCACTCCCTTCAATTCAAGTGGGTACGCTCTAGCTCAACTCTCTCAGGACTTCAGGGAGGATCGAGTCAACCCACGTTCAAAGACATTCATGACGAGAGAAAAATTCCCAACTAAGAACCGAACAAACGCGTAAAAAGTTGGAAGATGTTCGTGGATGATAGATGCGAGGAAATTGATTGAATGCAAGAACTGCTGGGATCCGGATCGTACATATGGAAGACAGCTTAATGAAATGGGAGTAAAAGCGAATAGTCATTATATAGGAAACGACCAAAGTAGAATGCTTCGGTAAGTGGTATCAGTTTATAAGATACCATTAAACCACATGCGCGCAGTGGTTAGAGGTGCCTTGCAATACACATGGGATCGATCCCGCACCCCATGCTCACCAAGCCTTCCATTCCTACAGGGTCGTCAAATTAGTAAAAGGCTTATCTGGGAAGATATTAGCACTGGCTCGATACAACCGTAGGCCACCGCGAATTATTATAAAAGCCAGATATGCATCCATTCACCTGTAACGATGTTACGAATGGAGTGGAATGCATGACATATCCTTCACGTATTGATCAACACCGAAAGCTCTGTCCCTTTTCCATCCAGCGAACCATCTCGACAAATGTGATTAGGACGTGCCTGACAAAGGTCCATCCCTTTTCATTGTGATCACATAAAGTGCCTTCTACTCGCTTATAAATAGATCAAGTTCAATTACGAACAACAGAAGATGAGGGAGCACCCTTATTTATCTATGAACTCACGTCCAGTGTGGAAGAAACTATAAGACCAAGGGAAAAAAAGCGTGTTCTCATACATTACCTCGGTCACTGCCAATAGTGAAAAGTTTCTTCTCTTCAAGATATCGAACACACAAAAACGATTTTGATTCCCATGTGAGACATGGACGTGATCTATCCATGATGCCCGTTCCTGATAGCAAAAATACAATAACAGGAACGCTTTTTAAAAAGTGAATGATTCGAGACGAACACAACATACCTCGCTTTTGGCCGAATGTTAGGTGAATACATTGTGGTCCTAAAATAGCTCTTTGTGTAAAAATGCGTCTAGGTTTCTCGTTTTCATTTCAGTGCCGTAACAATTGTAATCGAACTAACCTTCTACCAAAGTGATTACATCATGAAAAGCGAGTTCCTTTTTCTGACCACATGAAACGGCAGCATCGTTAACTAGCACGTTTCCAGAGCTGGAATTCACAATAGAATTCTCCATAAACGATTTGTAGGTAAAAGATGTCACAGAAGTGTTTGATAGCAAATGAATGCCTTCTTACGCATGATTAATATAAACAAATCTCCCTTATATAGGGATCTCATGCCGATAAGTCGCGATGCAACATGGCGTGTCCCCAAGTGGTGGACGAGCGACTGGTCGCGAATCAAAAGCGACCTTAGGCTTCCCTGAGACACAAGTGGATCCTGGAGATGACTTCCCCGTTTCTCTTTCACAGATTTGACACCTATATTATGCATTTACGAAGATGTATTCATGCTTGTGTATGTGGGTGTTTTCTCATCTATGTGGATTGCATACTACGAGCCAATTCGGCTAAAACCTGCAATAAAATGCCAGAAAAGTATGTAGTAGGCGGTTAGAGATCGCCTCCAACAAATAAACCATATGTCCACTCTGGGAGAGATTGGCAAGCTACCCGTGAGTACACCAAACCTCCACGCTCAGAACTCAGCAAACTGTACGTGTGTATCAAGCGCTAAACACGGTGAAATAAGTGGGCCTCATTCCCCTGACCCTGAAGGGGCACCCGATAAGGCAGAGTTGTGTAGGACGAGTACGGAGAGGCTGCTAAAAATACCGGTGCCATTATGGATTGCCTAAATCGCAAAGGACTAGGGATCCGTACCCACGATTCACGCACGCGTGCACCTGAGTCCTCGATAAAAGACTTGATTATGCAAGCAAGAAGCATGAAGTACGACGTCATCGAACCGGCTGAGACGATAGGACGCCGCTATGCAAGGCCATTCATGGCACCGTACCGGAGATATCCTTCAAGGAGCGCGACGCTGTCGATGGGTGCGGGGTCGCCGGTTCATGGTGCCAGTTGGTGTGTGCGGCCCATATTGACCGCGTCATTGACCAAATAAGCCACTCCGCCCTGCGAACACACACGAGATTGTTGACTGCATACTTGTCAACAACCTCGTGCTTGCTCTCTGGGTGGATGATGGTACTAGTATCTGGACGAGGACTGTCGAGAATACAGCAGTAGTAAATATCCGCGGTCCCATCTTCAGATGAGTGGATGAAGCAATAATGCGTCGCATACTACGCTGGTATGCTTAGCTCCTCACATGGTGATAAATCTTATACTGTTCGACACTCGCGAATATACCCTGTCATGATGGAACGCCAAGTCATTGGCAGATTCCCACACTTCCTTATAGTTCTTTGGCAAAATGTTTCAAAAAGATTGACCTGCCTTCAAGGGTCAGCTCTTTCTTCTTAAAAACGGATTCGCTCGTTCCGTTTGCAAGAGATAGATCTTCCACATTAACTAATTCATTATTTTATATGAGTAACAAAAGCAGAATGATGGACTATGGGCTGCTATATTTACAATGTTTGATGGTAATAGACGCCTTTTATGATACAGAAGAAGTGTTCCTCAAAACGTGCGATAGGAGAGGAGTTGGTGGTGTCAGTGTTCTTCATAACACGAGTCTATGAATATCGACTCATTCGGAGAACTAACAATCCGAGTCGAACGTTTACGGTTGAATAGATATGGATCAATACCGGCCTTGACAATCTTCGTCGTTTAAGCGCCGACATCAAACTATGACGAAGAAGAAGTTAAAGCGTTCTATATGGACTTAGAGGAATTCTACGGAGAAGACCATACATTCCTTAAGGTCATAATTGGAGATTTCAACGCCAAGATTGGACCAAGAAGAGCGTCTGAAGAACGTCACATTGGGACCCACGAATTAGAATGGAACGAACAGGGTGAGCGGCTATCTCAGTTTAGCATGACGACCAAGACCATCCATGGTAGCTCGCAATTCCAGAAGCCCCACCCTCAGCGCTCGACGTGGGAGTCTCCCAGTGGAGAGCACCATAACGAAATAGACCACATCATAGTAAATAGAAGGTTTTGCCCAACCGATGTTGTTGTTGTCCCAAAATTCTACTCGGGATCAGACCATCGTCACCTTCGTGCAAGGTTCTATTTCTCGCGGAAAGGAGAAAAAGCCGCCAAATTCCAAAATCGAAGTCCCAGAACCACCGTAAACTGGGATTTATTCAATTTATTAGTCGGCTGTTGGAAAGATGACGTTCTCGGTAACATCGACGAGGAACACGATCAGCTCATTCAACATCTTCACATTAGCGCTATGAAAGCTGAGAGCTCGAATGTCGCCAAGCGACGTCTCTCTCTAGAAATACTTGAGCTGATACGCCAGCGTGGAATCGCGCGAACTGCAGGCAATGGCTAACTCACGACCGAACTTGCAAAACAATGTAGACAGGCCACCAATCCCGCATAGGATGCGAAAAACATTCGCAAATCCCACCGCAACATCTTCAACTACAGAAATAAGGTGATTGCACATCAATACCCAGACGGAACAGCTACAGCGTCCAGAAAGGTAATCGATAGAATCATTCATGATTACTATTCGGATCTCCTGAACAGTCATGTTCTCCCGCTCTCATATGAAATAAAGGAGGATGGATATGTTGTACCACCAGTTTTTGTTTTCGATATACGAGGTACTATATCAGTAAAGAATCGAACACCAGGTGCGGAGAGCATGAGATCCGAACACGTGAAGAACCGTCCTCCAGTCCTTGTAAACACACTGGCTCCGCTCTTCACACGTTACCTGTCAGAATGCAACGTTCGTGCCTAGTAGAAGACCAACAAGGCCGTTCTATTCTTCAAGAAGGGTGACCTCTACAATATTGGCAGTTATCGTCCAATCTGCTTGGTGTTTGTCATTTAGAAACCTCTCACTCGAGTCATCCTAAACAGGACGGACACAACGGTGGACGATGAATAGCCATGTAAGGAAGCAGGGTCTCGAAAAGGATTCAGCGCGAAGGACCACATTCACGCGATGATAATACTAGTTTTAGTGTCGCGAGAGTATCTCACGACCGAGACTGCCATTTTGACTCGATTGATATAGAAGCAGCTATGGAAGCACTGGACGCCCAAGACGTCTTTACTCGGTACATGAAGGATCTCACTGAACTATGTAAAAATTTCACAATCAAAATATGAGTATTCCAAAACGATATTAAGATCCATATCAAAAAAGGAACTAGGCAAGGCAATACCATCTCGCCAAAACTATTTTACGCCAACGTCTCGAGAACGTCATGCCAACATTTTGGAATGGCATCATAATATGGGAGCGAAAATCGATGGTCGGCTGTAGGACCATCTTTGCTTTGCTGATGACATCGTCCTTATAACATCAAACATTACAAGCAGAACGTATGCTTGCCGACTTTGATGAAGCCTGTGGAAAGATTCGCCTTCGACTAAACCTCATAAAAGCGATGTTCATAAGGAATGGATTGTATCGTATCCCCATCCACGCTCAACGGAACGAATATCTTCAATTTCTGCAGTTAGGCCTATCTAGGTCGAAAAATCAACTTGATGAACGACTTAGCGCCAGAGCTGAGCGAGAACAAACGGACGGCTTAGGGAGCGTTCAGTAGAATCGAGAATGTAGTGAGAAGAACAACGAACATCCAATTCCGCGTCCATCTTTTCGACTCTACGCTCTCTATGCCTTAGCATATACCTTAGAAACATGGTCGCTACGTAAGCAGAATAAAAGATCACTCATAGTTATAAAAAGTGCAGTAGGAAGGACGATGCTAGGACTCTCCCGTATTACGCAAATGAACGAAGGGATCCGAAGCTCCGACCTACGTTAGCGATCAAAAATCAAAGACCCCGTTTTGCATACCAAATTTTCGAAGCTAATGTGGGCCGAACACGTAATGTTTCTGAAGGACAACTGATGGACGAGAGCTTAGTGTGAGTGGGCTCGAGATGTAAAGGAACAGCGGAAAGACCGCCGACCTAGTGGTCAGAGTTTTTCACGAAGACCCTGGAAAAAATGTACGACGCTTAATGAATTCCTAGAGCGAGCAGAACCCACTGCGCTACTCTTGCACGTCACGGGTAGATGTGGAAGATCTAGTGGCGCTGGTTCGAGTCACTCGACGATAAACGGGAAAATAGGTGATGCATGTGATCTAATTCAACACCTACATTTGTTGTTGAAACGACACTACAATCAGATACGGTTCGGGCACGTTGTACCTGATCCCTCGTGAATCGTTTAGGGGCAAATACATTGGCGAAATGGGTAGAGGTCTCTGCGTCTTTGTAGAACACCTAGATAGTACACTGAAAGTTAAATCACGCCAGACGGGCATAAGACACATTGACGTAACGGATAAGATTTTAAGGTATAAGTTATAATCGTCACATAGGAATCGAAAACTCGAACGTATAACACGCTCAAGGCATTTTGCATAAATTCCAGGAACCCAAAAATGAGCCGTAGAAAAGAATGCCTCGTCATGACGTATGATCTCACACATCTCGGTCTGACATTTGAATATAAGAGAGGCATATTACGCTCCCATGTGAGCTCCGTGCGGTTGTTCTCCAGGTAGAATACTCAGCAAACGACTCATAAAAAAAGGTAAGTCTGCCAAGAAGCTATTTTGTCTCCAACGCGATTGAAGTCTTGGTTTCGTGGCTCTTCTGTTGAGGATATGTAACCATTTGGCTTATTAAATTGCAGTTGGGCGCGTGTGCCGCAGTGGTTGGAGGCGCCACTACGAAACGCGCGGAATCGATCCCCGCGCCTATGGCTCACCAATGCCTCCATTACTCCGTGATCGGCAAATTAGTACCAGACTTGTCTGGGAGGGTATCAGCACTGGCACGATACATCGGTAGACCACCGCGAGTCATTGTAAAGGCCAGATATGCATTCAATCACCTCCCACGACATTTAATGAAGTCGAATGCATGGCGCATCCCTCAGGGATTGATCAACGCCGACAGCTTTATCCTTTTACCTTTTTTTAAATTGCAGTTAATATGCCCTTTCCAGGATCTGAAAAAGGAGAAATCGACCGAAACGTCAGCTTTTGTGAATATGGAGTATGTGATAGCGACCCCTTGTGAGCTTGTCAAGAAAACAGCGAATTATTGACCAATGCCGAGGTTAACTAGAATTTCGGCCCTGGGAATTACTATAACCTGATGTGTTCCATCATAAACTATTTCCAAATAAAGATGGAAAGGAAACCTTTTCACACCTGCATGGAGTTATACTGTAGCATACTCTGTTACGACGGACTATACGATGCAAACATGCGTGAGTTGGCAACAAGTTCGAATTCGGAAACGTTATATCACATGCTAAAACGTCACTCCTTTCTTAATTCACTAAGTCCATGTGAAGCAAAATAAATTTTTGTTCTCTTCACGACTAAAATCTATTCTGTTAGGGGTTTATTTTGTAAACTATTACGTCAGTGATTTCCACTTTTTCGAAGTTATGCTGGTTTAGCCACTCTGTTTCCCTGGAGCCCCGACAACAGCCTGGTCAAGATCTGCCCCTCGTCTTCACCGCCAGAGGCAGTTGCCGCCCTTGTAGACCAGAGGGAGATTTGCCACCATACGAGTAGTTTCATTCTAGGACTGCGCTGGATCCTAGTATTGGCTTACTCTTAGCTGGACTTTCTGGTGGAAACGCCGGACTCTTTCTCAGCTTGGAATACCCTGCTGGGGATGAATCCCCACGCCGTACATCGCAGCACGACACCGAAGAACACCTCCCAGCCACGGTGAGGCGGTAGATGTTGGGATCGACTCAATTAATTTGAGTCTTACTTGTTAAACTAGACAGCTTTGGTAATAAACAGAATATCAGACATAACACACTACTACTTAAGTATCGTCTTAAGTCGGAATACTCACAGACTACTTATATGTTAGCAGACAACCGCTAAACAATGTTTACTGGGGAAAAATGATCATTCTTATAGACTAAATAGTTTAGTGTATAGTGTACAGTAATACGATCGATACTTACTAGGATTCGGACAAGGTAAGTATAAATAAATAAAGGAAAGAAAATTACGGTAGTAAAACTACTGCTACTAACTGTAACGTTTCCCGATTGTGTACAAATATTTCTGGTCAATATAGTACAAAGAGACTGCGTGTTCACCACGCCATAAAACGTAGGGACGAGCTGGCCGATCCTCCATACCTGAACGGGACGCAACAGGTATGGCTAATGAATAGCACCTTCTACTTTTTTCCACAGAAAACCAGAAATATGGACGGATCTTACCTCAGAAATGAGTCGAGTTGATTACGTAAGGACACACAGAGTTTATGGAAATAAACCCAACTCAATGTTATTGTTTTTATACTTAACCTTATCACTGATATGCTCAATCGTTCTTTATCACTGAACAATCTCCAGCATGTTAGAATCCAGGCTATGAGGAGCGTGCTAAACAGGCACATATCAGGTTCGACGCACACGGACCAAAATCATTCTTGTAATTACTCTGGGATGCAGATGAACTCAAAAGAAGGACACGCGAGTATTGCTATGTGTTCTCTATAGGTATGAACACATCCTTGTCCGACGACTGTTGCCTAGATATACGCGAAGTGTCCCTCAGAAGAACCAGTGGAAGGCGAAAACCCTGACGATAAGTGACCGGAACATGTATATCAGGTGGACCGAACTATTTCCAACCGTAAGCTCCACGGCTACTCTAGGAAAGCACGAGAAGTTAGTTAGCCGCAAACAAAGGATTTCATTCTTGAACTTAAAAAGTTCTTTTTAACAGCGTTGGGAGAGACCACTACAGAGAGACTGCTATACTGCCAGCGCAATTTCGTAGATGAACTCGACTTCCGCCCCTCATTGACAGATGGGAGATCCTCCACGTTGTACGAATGATATGACTAGAAATGGACTTTTAGTGGGAATTAAAGAATAGAAGTCTTAAAAAATGCAACTACTTCAGTCGTTCCACAAACAGTAATGCAATAACCGTATAAGCTGTTGAGCAAATCCTATTATCTTATCAAGGAAGGGGTAGCTAACGACGTTGCCCAAACCCCGAAAGTGGTCCGTGCCCTCGACTTTTCATGCATCACTGGTGGTGATCAGATGAATATCTGGCTTGTACAGTTACTTAAAGAGGCCTATCGATATAAGTGCTCTTGTCCTCCCAGACAAGTCTGCGGCCAGTCTGCCGATTCTGGAGGGATGGGGGGCTTAGTGAGCCAGGGAGGCAAAATTAGACCAAGGACCAAGTGTGTATTGCAAAGCGGCTCTAATCAGTGTGCCACATACCCTCTGAACTATCTTATAACGCGAACTATATAAAGAATTCCTAGACGACTACGACATATGCTTCGGTGCAAAACAACACAGTTATTAATTATTCATCTATCAAGTATCTCAACACTTCTGTTTACAAGCCTGATGGAAAACATCATAAAGGAGATATGTGTAAAACCCGACTGCCAGCACGAGACATAAATAATTCGGAAACGAGAACAAAGTCGAGTTATAGATAATCACAACACGCAGAGCGTAAGCTCAATAGTACAACACCTATTTCAGTTAGAATGATCATAAAAACTAGTAAAATGTACAACGTAACACAACGTAGACACAATGATAACGCGATGATAAGACAAGAACAACTAGGAATTGTATACAGTCCACGTAACGATTACATGGAATTAAGTTAGATTGCTCCTATCACATTAAGCAACACCTTTTCTTTATACTGGTAAGATTCTATTGTGACTGAAGCAGTCTAGAGGACATTTTCCACACCACATCGGCGCCAAATTCAATAAGCATCAAGTGCTTCTATAGATGAGTCATACGGATTGATTTACACTGCGGTCTGATCAGAATGCTTGCATGAAACAATTTCTGATTGCAATAAACCCCATCTAAACCTTGTTATGCTAATTCAAAGCAATTCAGACAAAATTTTGTGATAGACAATCATTTAGCGCTTCTCACTCCTAATTGGCACACCTATCAAAAATTGGCGCTTCTGTGGTGATGGAACGGAATACGTACAAACCCGCTGTATCGTACATAAACAAAATATTGTGCTGAGAAAATAAAGCTGCTTGCGGAATCGACTTGACTTCTTGTACGGCGCAAAGACACTACCAAAGAAGGATAGACAGGAAACAATGCAGCAACATGCAGAAATAGGTGGATTTCCTAACTATAGACAGAATAAATATATCGCCGAAAGGTTAGAAGAGCGCATGCACCACGTTTTCGTAAGAATGTTTGTTCATCGCTAAGGATGAAAAGTGCTACCATATGTTATAAACAACTTTCCTTTTCCACTTCTTCCGTTGTGTCTTCATTAACTTGCAACTGTTGCTTCTCAGATTGAGTACTGACAACATCGTTATAGTACTCAGCCTTGTGTTTTGCTTCATTATAGTACTCATGCTTGCTTACCAACTCTGAAGTAAATTTCACTGAATGTGAAGCCAAAAATTCTTCAACAAGTTTAGATTCTTCAATTCATCCGATTCTCGTACTTCTGGTCCAAATGGTTAAATAGTGCTAAGGATGGAATCAAAAAGATAAGGGATAAAATTTTACGCATTTGTCAATCCCTAAAGGATGGGACATTCGGCTTCACAAAGAATTGTTAAAGTTAACTGAATTCATATCTGGCCACGCAATTGTTTGCAGTGGCCCATAGGTATATCAAGTCAGCGCTGCTATTCTCCCCAGACAGGTCTGGTAGTAATTTTCCGACCCCGGAGATATGGAAAGGTTGGTGAGTCCAAGGCATGGGATCGGACCCACGACTTCATATATATATACATATAATATTATATATATATATATATATATATATATATATATATTGCGCGGGACACCTTTAACAACTCTGCCCATTCGCCAACCTCAAGAAATACTCGTAGATTATGTGTTTAGTTCGCAGCCAATGAACTACCAGCGCATGTTACTCATTCGATACTGTACGAAACCAAAATATTCTTAAATCCCGGTAAACGAAGGAAGGATAAATTTGCTAACCCTTTACGGTCAACAATAGAAGAACATATTTTAGTAGCCCAACTAGTTCTGAATACATTTGCTCGAGTGCAATCATGACAGGAATCAACCCACCTGTCGCTCCATTTTCGTTCACTACCACGGGTGTATACATTATGGCATGCTCACTCAACAGTTTTGCATTCGGAACTAGATAATTACCGTCGTCCATACCAAGCTCAGAAGGCCGAACTGCTGCTAAAAAGAAAAACAAGTTACAGTTACTGAAGGTCCGCATATTATTGAAAATGAGCTTGTGCAACAAAAGTACTGCTACACAAGACCATATTTATTGATGGAAATTTAGGTTACTTTAAAAAGCTTGTAGAATAAACCCAAATTCACATTGAGAACACCTTCTAGAAAATCCAAGTAAGGAAAACAGTAGTAACAGTAAAAAGTAAAATCCCGCTGAGGAGCGATTGCCGATAACAGCTATAGCTAAATAACAAATCTAACAAAAAGGCTAAACGAAGGACTCGCATGGTGTGGTGGTGAACGCGTTAGTCCCCGGAAAGGGTAATAGCGTATTCGGTCTCCACAGCAGACACCAGCGGTCCGGAGTTTTGCAACTATCTCAGCATCATTATAGTTAAAAACAGCACTGTTCACTGATAAGGCAAGAAAGTAGTGGGAAAAACTGACGTCGTATCATTGGATCTGTTTGGTATCGATGTGAGCTTGTTGATTGCAATCGTCGCACATTCCGTGGAGCAAACGCCTGATAGTGTCTATTTTCAACGAAAGATTCACAGACCAGCCTTGTACGGTGACAACATATTTAAACCATATTAACGATGTTCTCAAGAACTAAAGATGTGACGTTGTTTTTCACAAGGAGTTTACTGTCTCTGACTCCTATGCGCTACTATCGCCCTTGGAGTTCTCAATTTTCAAAGCGTATTTTATTTATACTGCCTGAAGATAACACATACGGTCTCAAAATCAGCAGTTGGAGTTTCGGGATTCTCACACATTTCGAAGTAGTTCAACGGATCTGTGAAGTCGTTTTCGGTATCGTTTAGCAATTCTCGTAAGAGATCTCTCTGACATTCCGTTTCGACAAACGCTTGTGGTGTTACTTGGTCCTAAAGCCAAATTTTCCGGAACATTTAGAGACCTACATAATATCTCTGTGATTTGAACATACCATACACTAAACATTACTATTAGAACGTTATACTCAAGAAATACGATAACTAAAAGTACCTTATTAACACATTCATTACTGCTTATGATCATAACATTATATTTATCGTATTTATCGCCATTGTTGATAATATATTTTCTTAACACAAACACACCTCAACGTAAAGGTGTGGAATTCGACAAAAGTTTTGGAAGCGCTCATGCAGCATGGTGAAAGTCGGTCTCGATTCCGGATTCGCCATCCAGCCTAACATATAAAACCGATACAAGGATGATCTTTTAACTTATCGATCTCTTACTGCCAACGTAAAAGATTTCTTCCGGAAAAGACATCAAAGCGTTCCCGTAGCACAGTGATGTTGTAATACCTAGTTTACATAAGTAGAAGGTGGAAAAAACTAAGTAGCTTCACACAGTTCCATAACAAACTATAGCAAAGATTAGTTACAAACCAAACCAAAGCATCCAAAATTTGAAAGATCAGGTGTAAAACAAAAAGTGAATAAAGCATAAACATAGTGTATAGGATGATAATATTCGAAATAATGGCTATTTTTCTTTAAAGAAGACTTACATTGCAGCAAGACTTGGTAAAGTTCAATTGAGCAGTTACTCGGCTGTGAAAGACGATTACCGTCCTGGAGGAAGTTCTTGATCGAACAAATATCCATACCTTGATATGGACTCTGTAATAAAAATGGTGCCAATCAAATATGATAACATTGGATGTAGCACAAAGAAAAAATCCTTTGAGTACGATAGCTTGCTGGAAGGTTTCCAGAAAAAGGCTGCTAATATTTATAGATTGCTCTCGAGACTAACTGCATCTATGAGACAATGACGGAGCGTAACCGCCATTTTAGCATACACAATAGCTATTTAGTTAAAGCTGTGGACCCAGGTCACCAGCCGATATGAGGTTGGTAGCCAACTGGGTTGAGAAGAATAAAACACTGGTTTTCTTATTTAATGGTTCTCGAAAACTATATTACACATCGAAATGATTTCCTTCTAAGGTCAATTTGTAAAGTGAGTATGACAGGCGATGAATCACAGTAAGAATCACCGACGGTGTGAACTTCATTTCTCACTCTTCATAAGTGAATTTGCAAGGTTAGCTGTATACTATTGATCATAATCGCCTAAACTATTGGTTCCGAAAAAATCTCATCTAACGAAATTAGAGAGACTTTTGTGCAAGAATATGTCACTTGGTAAAGGCTGTTAAGCACCAATTGTCTTTCATTTTACTAAACGAACATTGCTTTATGTAGGGCACAAGGTACAAAACGCTTTGTAGCGACCGACCAAGCTTGTCCTCGTTTTTTACAAACGTTTTAGACTGAAATCTTTGCAAAAAACAACCACAAAAATGTGACCGGGTACCTGCCCAAATGTAAGAATTTCCCAGCACGTTACACCGAACGCCCATACGTCAGTACGATGAGTGTAGCTTTGGTCTTTCAGCGACTCTAACGCCAGCCACTTTATAGCCACCTGAAAAAATCGAACATTCATTTAGTTTCAACAATTACAATACGTCGGAAAATAGACTAGTCCTGCTTGTCTCCAAATAATAAACTCTTGAATAGAGAGTAATAAAGCAACAGGAACTATAAATTAGAAATACCTTTCCTTCCATGACCTTCACCTTCTCTTGACCGTAGTCGAGAAGTTTGGCAAGTCCAAAATCAGTTACTTCAACGTGATTGTGCCTTTTCACAAGCACATTTCTCGCAGCAAGGTCACGATGAATGACACGATGTTCATACAGATATTTCATTGCCTGTAAAAAAATGACCCACAAGTCGACATATAAATAAAGACACTTGAAAGATAAACATTCATAACATAAGGTACAAAACCCGGAAGTGAAAGGATTCGAAAATTGTGATGAGTTCGTCATCAAAAGTGAACACATAGGATCACAGCGTGAACTAAAATGATGTAATTTTAACTCCTTTCCAATTTTATAGGAAGAGACTCATATGACGTCAAGATCTCAAAATAATTTATAGCTTCAAAAGAAGCAACTTTACATCATACATTACGAGGAATTAGCGGTCGAGTTTGTAGATGGAATTCTATCTTCCCTGTTTAAGGCAACTACATTATCCAATAAAAGAAACATATGCTGAGAAAGAGTAAAATACTCCAGTAAAACAGAAAAAGCACCTTCATTTTTCAGCAATATCTAATGCTACTCTAGCTCAACTCACCGACGATATCTGATAACAGTATAACAGTACATCCTTGCCACAAAGGTGCGCTTTATGTTTCTTTAAAAAACCAAGCAGATTCCCTAGTGGACGTAGGAGTGTAACCTATAAAAGAGCTCTAGTGTTAATCAACAAAACCGCTGAAAAGAAAAACAATTGAAACGATTACCAGTTGGATTCCTTCCTCATGAAGGCAAATACCGACAAGGCGAAGCAGATGTTCATGACGAAGTGACGACATTTGCATAGCCTCGTTCAACATTTCTGATTCCTTCAATGAGAATCGTCCTCATGCCGAGTTATCAAATCTCATGTGGAGATCAAAAAGAATACATCAAAACAACAGAGGACGAGCAGAAATTAAGGAATAGACGGCTAAAATAAGAAGAGTACAACAGTTCTTACCTCTTTGCCAGTTCGCATTCCTTTAACCAGCTTTATAGCGACGGGCACCTTGATTTTACCTTTACCCTTCGGAAACCAGAAACCCTAAAGATAAATGCAGCTCATTCTAAAATGTAAGCACAACAATAGGTGTATCTTTGGCGATTCAACAAAAATTTCTAGTAATGAACTTGAACGTATAAGATCGGTAGTCTTATTCATAACCTTGCATCCATGCATCCTCTATCTAACTGGACTTCTGCATAATAGTTCAAACTGTAGGAAATTCACTTGTTTGAAATCCAAAAGAAATTGCCTCGATCATTACACTGCTTATATATCTAAGGAGTTCCACAAGCGATAGCTCATGTAGTTGTTGAAGAAACTGGATATGCATCTTCGATATTTCCGTTTTGATAAAAAAGGATGGAACGAACGGAATCAACCTCTTTCAAAGAGTAAACGACCCATAAAGGCGTTAAAAAACTACAAAATTACTGAAAACATTCATGTTTCGATAGAACGATGCTTCCAAACTAACCACGGATCCAATATTTGAAACAATGAAGTTATGTCACGAAAGTGGAGTATGTTAATCACTAATGAATTGTGAAAAACACACTGAATTGTTTTAAAAATGAAGAGAGGCAAAAAAAAACTAAGACATCGTTAGGGCCACAGGAAACACTGCGGAATAACTGAGAACGTAACAAGTTAGCACCGCTTGTTATCTAGCCTTAACATTGGAGAAAACCCATTTTTTTTGCCGGTAAAAGATGAGAAGTTCCTCTCAGACAATAAAAAATTTCGAGCAAGCGGTGTCGAAAAGCAGAGCTACGGTTTTAGTACATCCCGACATCTCGAAAAAAGTTCAAAATAATTTTGAGTTGTCACTAACCGCATATACAACTCCGAACGCTCCAGCACCCAACTGTGTTCCTTTCGTTTGTAATTCACTGGCAGTTATCAGATTCACACGGCTCATATTGGATCGAATAGATGGATCTGAAAAAAATTATTTAGAAAAGCCACATTCCACAAAAGCCATAAAGACATTTTTTTACTATATGGTGGGCAAAACCTCAACGAACCTCCACATTACTTATCAAACCTTCTCGTTATGACTGATTTTTACATTGATTTACTATATGAAAATCGGCTTAAATGTCTTAAGCTGTTATAATTTTCAAAGTCACACCTAACGAGCGAGTTAGGGTTCAACAGACCAGTTAAAGAACTTACTTACCGATTGGTGTCATCTCTGGTATATCCACATAGTTACTGATCTGCTCCTTCAGTAACTTCCTTTTAAACGTCCTACATCGTATGCACACAATCTGAATATATGTCAATACTTACTTACTTAGATACTTGGATGACCCACCTTCACTGGCTGCACGGACCCCAGCATAATTTCCATTTTCTCAGAGTTTTGCTGGCTTAGCCATTGTGGTTCCCTGGAGCTTGGAGTTCAGCCTCGCAAAGGTCTGCCCCAGGTCGTCACCACCACAGGCAGCCGCTGCCTTTGTGAATAAGAGGGAGATTTGCTACCACGCAAGTAATTTGATACCACGACGGCGGTGGATCGTGGTATTGGTTTACGATTAGCTGAGCTTCTTGGCGGAAACGCCGAACTCCTTTTTAGCATGGAAGACCCTGCCGGGAGGATGAATCCCGCTGTACCTCGCATCCCGACACCCAGGAACACCTACTAACCACGATGAGACGATAAACTGTTAGGAGGTACATGTCAATAAGAATTAACATAGTAATACACACTATTTTTGTTGATTAAAATCCCGTTTCAACTGGATATAGACAAACATACCAGCATGGAAATAAGTAGCACTGCGAAGACTATGGCAAAAACTGCGGCGATCATTCTTGATCGCTTTTCACGTTCCTTGTTCAAATCGACGCGATTGCACATTTTAAACTCATCCAGAAAAGGAAATTCTTCCGGACATTCAGCCAAACATACCTAGGATACCAGAAAATCATTTCCACTGAATAACACCGTCGTAATCTAGTTGCAAGTTCAACAATCTCATCGAAATAAGGCAGTACTGAAAAAAAAATTTGCTCCGCTCTTTCCGCTGTGCTGAAATTCCCCTTGTTCCACGACAAAAGTAAGGCCAAGAAAAGTACAGCAAAATAGACTGAAGAGAAGTTATGGGTAATGTTGCTGAATTTGATTTGAAATAATCAATATGTCCAGTAGAGCCCAGTAAAACTTACATTTGGTTCTCCTTGAAGTGTTGCGAACATGCATTGAGTACATTCCGACTCTGATGGACCAGTACAGCCGTATCCTCTATCGCACAAATGATGGCAGCTGCATGAGAAAGTTTCATACTTTATTTTAATCCTTCGTTTTTTCCTTATCTACCGTCAGAAAACACTCGTAAACGGGATTGATCTGAGTAGCCCAAACCGGCAATGAACCCTATCAGTTGAGAAAGGGGCGAAATGAAGGACCCGCATTGCGTGGTGGCGAACACTTAGCCCCCGGAAAGGGTAATGGCGCGTTCGTTCCCCACCGCAGACACCTGCGGTCCGGAGTTTTGCAAATATCTCAGCATCGCAGTGGTTGTATCACACTAATACTCTACCATGAAAAATTGTAATAGGCAGTAATTAAAGAGTTGACATAATAATACTAACTGTAGCAATTGTTAATATGATGACCTGTGAGTTATCTAAAGAAAGCAGTAGAAATAAAATCTTCGGAATTCTAAAGGGCTGGGGAATAAACCTTCCGTGCAAAAAATTCAGGCAGTAAAAATTGCTTGGACACTAAAAAATATTTCACTAAACTTCAACATGCACAAGTATCCTCCGCGTTGCATCGTGTTTTAATCTTTCAAACACTACGAGTAGATTTGTATAGAATGAAGGAAAGTCTAACCTTTTGCAAATCCCAGGTTGTGTTCCATTCCGAGAAGATGCCACATAATGTGATTCTAAGCACTTATCCAGGCATATTGAGTCTTTAGTCATTTCATTTGCGTAATCTAAAATATTCGAAACAAAGTGTAAACCTTATCTCATAAAAGCTAATCATGCATAATTCCTGTATTGCGAGGCATTTCAAAAAAGACTATCACCACCAGAACTTACAGTCAATGTTGTCACTTGTACAATTAAAGACTAAGGGACTTAAGGACATATTTCATCCAAAATAAAGCGACCTGTACTTAAAATGGAGAAAATGACGAAAAAATGCTAAAGAGAAAAAGGAGGAAAGGAAACAAAGGAGAAAACATCGACAACCTTTGCAAATACACCCGTTTGCGATCGAATTCCTACCGGATGATGTGCATGCCACACACTCTTCATCGCACGGATCGCAGTGCTAAAATTTAATATCGAAGAGGTAATAACTTATAAAGAAAAAAAACCTATAACTATAAACTATAGTTATAGTTATAGTTATAAACTATAACTATAAACCTATAACTTTCCACTTATAACGAAAGTTCTTTACTAATTGTGAAAGTATATTCATTCTTAATCGATTTCCATAGTAGTAACTGCTTATCGTAGCTCACAGCTCAACACATAAGCCAAACAGTCTATGAGAATCGCACAAGGCCAATACTTACAACAAGTTGAACTCCAGTTATTGGCTGAGTTGACGGATAGTGTCCAATGACGTCACGACATGCTTCATGCATTGAAGGAGAGAACAGACATCGAATTACCTGAATTATAATAGTTGGTATTTGAAGCACCACAGATAAATAAGTGTCTAATGTCAGCGCAAATTAGCAAGCAATAGTGTTCTTTACCTCGTGTTCACGTGACACCTGTGCATACAAACATTCACTGCAACCACCAGCTCCTAGGTGATCTCCTGGACCCGTACATCTAAAATCCACTGTCAATTTGTCAGACAAACTCTAATCGTTACGTAATGCCGGACTTTTACATGAATCAAGTCAGAATATTAACTTTTTATTTGCTGGCTATTACAATTTCTCACTGCAGGGTATTATGTGAAATAGAAGCATACTGATGCTGAGGTTTTTGCAAACCTCCGGACCGTAGGTGTCTGCTGTGGGGAACGAACACGCTATTACCCCTTTTGGGAGCTAGCGCGTTCACCACCACACCATCCGAATCGTTCGGGTAAACCTATTACAGTTAGACTGCTGAAAGGATTGGTAGATAGAAAACAAGCTGAGAGACGGACGAAAACAAGGACCTTCATGGTGTGGTGGTGAACGCGCTCAGCATCCCTGTGGTTGAATCAAGTCAATTATGACCAACGATGAATCGATGAAACGTGAGGTTCTGTACACAAGCAGTACTAATGTATTCAGGCTATTGATTTGACTCTCTTATAGTGGGGACTACCATAGATTTTACTTCTCGAAAGTAATAACCATGCTTAACTAGGAATGACAAAACATAGGCGTATTTGGGGGTAGGAGGCGGCTATGCAGCCCATTTCCCATCAAAGACTTTCTAGGACTAAACTGTGCAAGACGGATGGCCTATTTTCGAGAAACTGATGAAAACTGGAAAACCTTGGATTCGTCCTTTCCACTAGAAATCATTTTCTCCAATGAAGCTGGATAGATGACTCAAAATTTGATTTCTTTATTTTATAAGATCCATCATCCGTATCTATAGTACGTATCCCCAGTATTTCTTGCATTCGATTCGTTTTCTCTCACCCATCATCCAGAATGGTCTCCCAACTTTTCAAGTATGGGTTGCACTGCTGCTTTAGAATGTCCTTTCGTCATGATTGTCGTTGAATTCGGTTGATTCGCTCGATTCTACCTGGAGTCCTCAGATAGTCGAGCTACGCCGTTCTTACTTGGATTCTAGAGTGAATTTTTTGAAGACAAATCCGATACCAAATTCGCGTGCACATAGGGAAAGGAGCTTCGCGAGCCTGGGAGGGTGGGAATCTATACCGTGCTGGCGATGACCAGTACCACTACCACTGCGCTACCCTCTAAAAAACTGATGAAAAATGACAGCCTATGAACGAATAGACAGTACAGTAGTAGAATACGTTAACGAGATTTGAAAAACAGGAGCACACCTCTGTGAGCTCATGGTTCTGCGTCAGGAGAAAGAAGAACAACAAAATCATACGTTATATTGTAGAAGCTACTTTTCACAATTAACGATCAATTCAGAGAACAAAACTCCTTTCGGAAACCCTACCTGAGATTGGAGCAACTCTTGTGACATGGTTTACATTGTTTGTTGTCTTCGTAATGGTTAACGCTACAAGTGGCCAGGCAGATAAGTTCACCATCGATGAGCAGTTGCACATTCCGACACGAAATACAATCTCGCTCAGTTGGTCCTACAGTATATTCAAAGTTTTCATGTAATAGTACACCCATCAAAATTACTAAGATAAGTAGTACCTGTACATGTAAGACACTCCTTATAACATGGTGAGCATTGCTTTGTAATGTAATCCTGGTAGAATCTGGAAAGGGACATTTCCTATACAGTTCAACATTACCGCGTCCTCAGTATTATGGGCTATATGGTTGAAGGTTAATGTTGTATTACAAAGTGGTACGACTCGAGATGAGGACTTCGACATTCCCTTATTAACTGATCGCCTCCCAATTAACTAAACAGCACAGTAATTCCCACGACCCCTGTTGATCCATAGACAACTGCTTCGTCGCCTGTTCCACACAAGAGTAGATAGATTAATGCTTCGAATACAATTCTTTCTACTTCTGCTCAGCAAACACGAGGTGTTATTTTATGTCTTCATTTACAAACAAGCTGACGTTTCGGCTCATTTCGCCTTCCTCAGATCCTCCAAAGGTCAAGTTGACCGCAATCTATGCGGCCAAACACTTCCATAACCAAACAAAGTAAATGCTAAACCAAGATTTCAATCAGAGAATAAGATATCAATAAGAAGAAAAAAACAAGATAATACCTCGCGTTAGCTCAACAAGAATATAATGAACTGAACAGCATAGAGCAAAATTCACGAGTGACGTTGCCGCGAATTCGTGCTGCACTCAGACATCTCCTTAGACATCGGACCTAGCTTCCGGCTACGGAATGCATAGCGCGGTAAACGTGATGATTAAGAAGATGGTTCAACCAGCCCTTTAGTGACAAACACCTACTACCAATTAACCCCAGAGTGGAGCGATTCTATCGTCCCGGTGAGGGACATTGGTAACGCGACAATATATGAATGTATTTCATCTGTACGATATGAATTGTGGTACCGACCTTGCAAACTTATTGCAAGAGTAATGTAAAACTTCAAAACACTTTAACAAATAGAAAATTTATAGAGCTATCTTCCAAACCACATACTAAGTACGAGTGATTTAGTAAGCCTTGCACTGCTAGAATCACGCAATCGTAGTCCAAGCAAAAACAGTAGTTTGTGGACGGAAGAACAAAGGAGTTTTTCGTAGATTTCTGGTCCTCAGAATAAATACATAATGCGAACATATACTTACCCTTCATTTGGGCATTCCTTAACGCAAGTGTCCTGCAGTTGCCAATAACGACACTTTGTGCACATGGTTGGACCCCGTCCCCAGCATCCAAGGGCTGGATCACACGTCTCATCACAGATTCGATGACGTTCCTCTAAATACGTAGTGGTTTATAGATAACAAAGATAGTGAGAGAAGAATAAGAAGAAATATTTCGAAACCGACTTTCCCTGAACCTCGGTGTGACTAATCAATATGCATTCTTTCTTGATAAGCTTGCACGAGGTTGATAAATATATTTATTTTCGGAATATTGATGCCTCATTCGAGAAGATGGATCACTGAGGAAGACCTGGCTCGACACGAAGGCGAACTTGTAACGTCGAGACGAACAACAATCATGGACCATCGACTAGGATCATCGGCTCTGAGGAAGACGAAGACGTCGAAACGTTAGCCGAAAATAAATATATTTATCAAC